CAGCCGGGGAGTGACCAGAGACAGGTGGGGAGTGACCAGAGACAGATGGGGAGTGACCAGAGACAGCTGGGGAGTGACTAGAGACAGCTGGGGAGTGACCAGAGACAGGTGGGGAGTGACCAGAGACAGATGGGGAGTGACCAGAGACAGATGGGGAGTGACCAGAGACAGCTGGGGAGTGACCAGAGACAGCTGGGGAGTGACTAGAGACAGCTGGGGAGTGACACAGCTGGGGAGTGACTAGAGACAGCTGGGGAGTGACTAGAGACAGCTGGGGAGTGACTAGAGACAGCTGGGGAGTGACTAGAGACAGCTGGGGAGTGACTAGAGACAGCTGGGGAGTGACTAGAGACAGCTGGGGAGTGACTAGAGACAGCTGGGGAGTGACTAGAGACAGATGGGGAGTGACTAGAGACAGATGGGGAGTGACTAGAGACAGCTGGGGAGTGACTAGAGACAGCTGGGGAGTGACTAGAGACAGCTGGGGAGTGACTAGAGACAGATGGGGAGTGACTAGAGACAGATGGGGAGTGACTAGAGACAGATGGGGAGTGACCTGAGACAGGTGGGGAGTGACACAGCTGGGGAGTGACTAGAGACAGATGGGGAGTGACCTGAGAAAGCTGGGGAGTGACTAGAGACAGATGGGGAGTGACACAGCTGGGGAGTGACTAGAGACAGATGGGGAGTGACTAGAGACAGATGGGGAGTGACCTGAGACAGCTGGGGAGTGACCAGAGACAGATGGGGAGTGACACAGCTGGGGAGTGACTAGAGACAGCTGGGGAGTGACTAGAGACAGCTGGGGAGTGACTAGAAACAGTGCTCACAGCAGGGGACTAACTCCGGAGAAAATGTCTGAAAGAAACACTAGTCTCTTTAGGTACCGCGTTGGTTTTCTGCATTGTATAGCTATGAAAGGATAAACGTTTAAATCTTGCATTAGTTCTGTTGAGATAACTCTTACGTTTTCCAACTTGGAAATTACTTTTGTTTTTCACTTATTTTGTTCGCATCGAAGCCAGTATTTTGACATATTATCGATATTTTATCAATCTAATCCTGTAACTTTACGATGGTTTTACAACTGTCCTAATCAATGGAGGTGTGTCTTGTATAATTGTCTCCCTGGCTAACTGTAATCAGCCATTGTCTAGCTGTCGCTCTGTTCACCAACAGGTGGCGCCACCGTGTGAGCAGCTATCTGTACTGTGTGCGATAATCCTACACAACAAACCTCATCAAACACTACTGTCTACCTACACAATGCATTACTTCTCTACACATGGCTTAATACTTAGCTAACCATTGCCTACACATGTATTAGCGGTCTACACGTAATAGCACGTGACCTACCATCACACATCTTGTAGATAGTTGTATGTCTGTTAGCTTGTAGATAGTTGTATGTCTGTTAGCTTGTAGATAGTTGTATGTCTGTTAGCTTGTAGATAGTTGTATGTCTGTTAGCTTGTAGATAGTTGTATGTCTGTTAGCTTGTAGATAGTTGTATGTCTGTTAGCTTGTAGATAGTTGTATGTCTGTTGCTATAGGAACGATAAATTGAATGACCCAGTTGGAAGTATCATGTGGCGGCGTGGTAGAGCGTACTGTTGCCTGTCAAACTGTCTCTGTTTAATCCAGCTCTTATGGGTACCGAGTCAATGTTAACTAAAGAAATACAGATAATATTTACAGATACTATTTACTTCATATGAAATAAGGCCTTACGCTAAAGCCTAGTTACTGAATTAACATCATACGATAGGACGTTTTTGGTTTTGTTGGTGGTCTTTTCTTTGTGGTCTTTGTTTGTGGTCTTTTGTTTGTGGTCTGTGTCTGTGGTCTTTCTTTGTGGTCTTTGTTTGTGGTCTTTGCTTGTGGTCTTTGTTTGTGGTCTTTGTTGTCTTTGTTTTTGGTCTTTTGTTTGTGGTCTTTGTTTTTGGTCTGTGTTTGTGGTCTTTGTTTTTGGTCTGTGTTTGTGGTCTTTGTTTGTGGTCTTTGTTTTTGGTCTGTGTTTGTGGTCTTTGTTTTTGGTCTGTGTTTGTGGTCTGTGTTTGTGGTCTTTGTTTTTGGTCTGTGTTTGTGGTCTTTGTTTTTGGTCTCTGGCTGAGAAGACCGCGCGTGAGACAGCGACATTGTCCTGACAGACTGAAGCGTGGCAGTGACACTGGTTTCAACTCTAGCCCAATTGGTAGATTTATTTTTTTTTTATTAAAAACCAATGAAGTTCGAAGGCCGAACAGAGATTGATTTTGGAGTTCTGATGGAATCGAGTGGTAATCGATTTGATTGATCAAATGGTACTTTATCTTTCTAGGGTGTGAAGAGATGTTTGACTGTGTCTAGCCAGCGAACGAACGATCTGTGACTGATTAAAATTGTCTTCATGATTCTATTGACATACGTCAGTTCCGCCACACTAGATATAGGCAAGGCCCACCCATTACCTCCCTTCACGCTGATAGAATACCAGTGAATCGTTTCCCTCCACCAAAAATTTTGCTAGTTTACATCGGCAGGTGATTCACTCTTTTTTTTTTACGTAGAACAAAATACCAATACCCACATTTCCCCCCCCCCCCCCCCCCACACATATCTAAATGTGACTCACCATATCTTTTAAACGTTTGACGTCACTTATCTATCAGCCTCGTGAGCAAACAAATACACCTGACTCACAAGTGGGTGGTCTGTCACTGTCACAAGTGGGTGGTCTGTCACTGTCACAAGTGGGTGGTCTGTCACTGTCACATGTGGGTGGTCTGTCACTGTCACAAGTGGGTGGTCTGTCACTGTCACAAGTGGGTGGTCTGTCACTGTCACAAGTGGGTGGTCTGTCACTGTCACAAGTGGGTGGTCTGTCACTGTCACAAGTGGGTGGTCTGTCACAAGTGGGTGGTCTGTCACTGTCACAAGTGGGTGGTCTGTCACTGTCACAAGTGGGTGGTCTGTCACAAGTGGGTGGTCTGTCACTGTCACAAGTGGGTGGTCTGTCACTGTCACAAGTGGGTGGTCTGTCACAAGTGGGTTGTCTGTCACTGTCACAAGTGGGTGGTCTGTCACTGTCACAAGTGGGTGGTCTGTCACTGTCACAAGTGGGTGGTCTGTCACTGTCACAAGTGGGTGGTCTGTCACTGTCACAAGTTGGTGGTCTGCCATAAGTGTGTGGTATGTGAAATACACAGCACATAAAAAAGATATAGAACATAAGTGAAATACACAGCACATAAAAAAAAACCATATATAGAACATAAGAGCCATCACATATCACTTGTTCAAGACACGACGCAGCAGCAGAAGGTTCACTTTATCACTGGCTTGACTTGAAACGATCACAATATTGAATAAAAGCTTGTTAAAAAAACTAAGAGTTCTTGCCCTTGATTCTCCTGGGGCGCGACCCCCCCCCCCCTCACTTTTGATAAGAGTGAATGGGAGGGGGGTCCTTTTGTTATCTCGGTCCACTTTGTTTCAGTGCCTTATCTAGTTCCGTGTAAATTTTGGTCCAGTTTTTTAGTTTTGTTATTTGTAGTCAAGTTATCTTAAAGTCTTTTTTTTTTGTTGTTCAATGACAGTAAACTCAACAATACCGAGACATTTTGTGACTCTGACACGTGTTTGTGACTCCTAATTTGATTGCGTAAGTTCTTCTCTAATCTAACCCATGTTTGTGACTCCTAATTTGGTTGCGTAAGTTCTTCTCTAATCTAACTAATGTTTGTGACTCCTAATTTGATTGCGTAAGTTCTTCTCTAATCTAACCCATGTTTGTGACTCCTAATTTGGTTGCGTAAGTTCTTCTCTAATCTAACTAATGTTTGTGACTCCTAATTTGATTGCGTAAGTTCTTCTCTAATCTAACCCATGTTTGTGACTCCTAATTTGGTTGCGTAAGTTCTTCTCTAATCTAACTAATGTTTGTGACTCCTAATTTGGTTGCGTAAGTTCTTCTCTAATCTAACCCATGTTTGTGACTCCTAATTTGGTTGCGTAAGTTCTTCTCTAATCTAACTAATGTTTGTGACTCCTAATTTGATTGCGTAAGTTCTTCTTTAATCTAACTAATGTTTGTGAATCCTAATTTGATTGCGTAAGTTCTTCTTTAATCTAACCAATGTTTGTGACTCCTAATTTGATTGCGTTAGGTCATGTATTGTGACAAAAAACTTGCCTTGAAACATAATTTTACATCCGCGTGTCCTTTCTTCACCCTATTTCGACATGTTGTCTCAGCGTTCATGTAACGATTTACCTCCCCTTTCAGCATACATTTGTTATGTACCTTGTTATGCAGATTACAGAGTTATGTACCCTGTTCTGTTGACTACACAGTTACGTACCCTGTTTCACTCTAAGCCAAGTTCAGCATTATTCAATCCCTGCTGCTCATGATCCTGGAGACTAATCCCCTATCCCGATCCGATTATGCTTTATATTTTAATCTGTTGAGTTAAGATCATTTTTTTTAAATTGTCGGAGTTCACAGAAGGCTAAAATCTTCACCGAGCAGACTATGATTAAAAGTGGCCATCTCCCCCCATTTTTTTTTATCTTTCCCGTTATTATTTCATTAGTGATGTCCATACCCTTGGAGTTATATTCTTGTAAAGTATATATTATATTATGTTATTTTATGTTACATTACGTTATATATATATATATATATATATATATATATATATATATATATATATATATATATATATATGCTATATTTCGATGGATATATGTGTATTTGTTGAATGGGGTATTGTGGGATACACAACATAAACATTTAGTGATACTTGATTTAGTTCTGGGGATTCGGGTTTGGCTTTTCTCGAAGGCAATGCTAAGCAGGAAGGTAAATGGCCTGAAGAATTCTGTTGAAGTATTTCACTTCTTTGTCTGTGTTTGTACATCAAGAATTCTACTTGAAGAAATCACTTCTTTGCTTGTGTGGTTGGGGTTGCCTGTGTTTTCTTTGACTGATAAATTGTCTGTTATTTCCTCTACAGAACCACCAAGCTTGTGCTAGAAACAACAATGTCAGGTAATAAATTTCTTCTCAATATGTTGTATCTGTGGCGGTATAAATCTTCTAGTTAGCACCTTTTTAAGTTTATCTTTTAAAATATTTTACAAAGCATTTTATAACATCATCTATCGGTGTTACCAGTGAATGTAATAATATATAAGTTAGTATTAGAGCTTCTAATACAGAAACCGATCAAAACACATTTTTTTCTCTACTCATTCATCTAAAAACTACGCATTTAAAGGGCGATAACCTGTGCCTATTTGCTGGTTCTGTGCCTTTGTTGTGTGAGATATTTCACTAGAATATGTACATAGAAACTTTGAAGTTATTAGACATTGAGATATTTGCAACTTCCGCTAGACTGTGTACATAGAGAACTTTTTGGGAATTGTGTGAAAGGGTTCACTAGAGTTTGAAGCAGTCACAAAATAAAGTCGATGTATACAACATAACATCTGCCGACATACGATATGGCTGGAGTGTATGTAGTGTCAGGGCATGTATAGAACACCGTCTAGGAGCTGTAGAGAATTTTTTTTTTCTGTGACTCCTGGGTGTGTAGGCAGCGCACGTCTCAGCTAGGCAGGTCTTTGTTTACTTAGCTGTGATTAAAACATCTAAATGTTAATTAATGTTTGTTTAGCTGTGATAAAAAAAATCTAAAAGTTAATTAATGTTTTAGGCCTGCGTGTTAGAAGGTCGCCAAAATGTATCGGGGTACAATAGAAGTTAATTGTTTAGAAGCAAACATTGCTGATCAAGCATTCTTCAATCACACCACACACGCCAACGTACACAATGTCTTGCATAATGCAAATATACAACAACATTGTGTAAAAAAATAAACATTTTAATAGTCTTGGGTTCCCAATGTATATGTATAACTTTATCAAAACAGAACTGATTCCTTTTGAAAAGCTTGTGATGAGCACTATGTTACATTGATATCTTTATAAAAGCTTGTGATGAGCACTATGTTACATTGATATCTTTATAAAAGCTTGTGATGAGCACTATGTTACATTGATATCTTTATAAAAGCTTGTGATGAGCACTATGTTACATTGATATCTTTATAAAAGCTTGTGATGAGCACTATGTTACATTGATATCTTTATAAAAGCTTGTGATGAGCACTATGTTACATTGATATCTTTATAAAAGCTTGTGATGAGCACTATGTTACATTGATATCTTTATAAAAGCTTGTGATGAGCACTATGTTACATTGATATCTTTATAAAAGCTTGTGATGAGCACTATGTTACATTGATATCTTTATAAAAGCTTGTGATGAGCACTATGTTACATTGATATCTTTATAAAAGCTTGTGATGAGCACTATGTTACATTGATATCTTTATAAAAGCTTGTGATGAGCACTATGTTACATTGATATCTTTATAAAAGCTTGTGATGAAAAAGCTTGTGATGACCACTATGTTACATTCTCTGCTCTATAGGTCTGATCAAGCCAAAGGAATACGACTGGAAGGACTCTAATTTGGCTCTCTTTGGTTCAGAAACAGAAAAAAATGTCAAAAGTAAGTTTTTTAATTTATTTAATCAGCTCAATTATCTTGTGTTAGATGTTTGGTACTGAGAATATTGCTTTAATATTGTTTACTCACTACACAGAGATTGGGGGGGTGGGGGGTAACAAACTATAGCCAATAGTCATACAATGATGATACCCAACGATAACTAATAGGCCTACAATGATGGTACCCAACTATAGACCTACAATGATGATACCCAACGATAACTAATAGGCCTACAATGATGGTACCCAACTATAGACCTACAATACAATGATGGTACCCAACTATAGACCTACAATGATGATACCCAACGATAACCAATAGGCCTACAGTGATGGTACCCAACTTTTGACCTACAATGATGATACCCAACTATAACTAATAGGCCTACACTAACGACACACGTGTTTCGTTATCCCCACACCAGAAGACGCACCTGACGCCACAGTGACGCCGATAGCCAACACACCTGATTGCTACACATTCAGTGACATTGCTGTTTTTGTTGGGTTCGCTACAGTAAAAAAAACAACATTTCCACAATTTGGATCTAAGCTCAGTACTTTTTTGAAGGAACCAGCACGGTGCATAAAATCTTGTCGCCATATTGGCCTTACATAAAAAGTTCAGTAGTATAAATCTAATGTACCCACCATTGTGATACTTGTTTATTTCCAGACTTTAATGCGGGTTGTACAGCTTTGTGCTGTTTTTTGTGTGGCTATGTGCAGGCTTTAGTGTTGTTTTCTTTCATCGTGTTAATGTTTGTTTATTTTTTGCTTTTATTGATTCAATCTACTCGCACAACGGGATCACATAACCATACTGAAACTTTAGGTTTAGGTTTCTGGAATAGGGATGCCCGTTGTTAAAGATTTTTATAGATAAATATTGGGAATACTTTTCAGTAGTTGGCGCTATCGGGAGATGTTGGTCGTTGGCGAAAGATGATAGTCTTACCTCCCCCCTCCCCTCCGTCACACGTCATCACAAAAAGCCAGACCCCCTCCCCGAAAATGGCGTCACACCTCAGCCTACTACCCCCCTCAAAATTGATGTTGAATTTTTCTTAAAACATCGATTTTCCAAAATCTTGTCAGAACTCTGCCAACATAGAGTATTTTGATAAATTCCTATTACAATTTATTAAAACCGTTTTCTAAAACGCGAAATAACGGCTAAAACTCGTTTTTAAACTCTGCTTTTTTTATAATGCAAAATAGTGACGTCACACCATCTGAACCCCTCCCGCTCGTCACACACCGTCACAAAATTAATTACGGACCCCCCCCCCATGAGTGTGACGTCATTTATGGACGACCCCTAAGGGATGATGTTGGTCGTTTTCGGCTGACGTCATAACCAGACCCTAGATTTAAATTGAAAGTAATGCCATTAAAACTTCAACTAATTAGACCCAGGCCTACATGTTCTACCATTGTTCATCAACTTTGATTGGGGTCACGAGAATTTATTCCCCCACTACTGGATCACGTGACGAGCGAGCATCTCAGGCATGAATAATGTACAGTATTGTACAGGACCATCCTACACGTCATGCTGACTAGACTTGTTCGGGCCTCGAGTTGAGAATTGTGTTGTTGCATCCGTGCAACCCGGAAGTAAGTTTTCCCATCATGCCAGATGAGAAAACTTTGTGTCCGTTCACAAGTCGCACGTGTCGTCAAAACTACTGGGTGTAAACAAAGATGCACCACATTATAAGTGCATGATGATTTTGTTTGTCGTCCATTAATGACATCACATTCCGACTGTAGTTATCTCCCCCCTCCCCACCCCTCCCATCATTTCAAAAAAACCCACTCCCCCTCACTTCAGTTACCTCTCCCTCATTTGATTGCTAAAAAAAAGGGATATAATTAATAACAACCATAATTATTAAAATTAATTGTTTTCTAGCGACCTTGACCTTACTGAATTATTTAATATTATCATAAAAGTCCCCTCTCCCCCCCCCCCCCACTCTCCCGTTTTCCTTTACATACTGTGATCACGTTTGATTAACATATCCTAACATTACCATTACCATTTGTAGAGGAATCTGCACAAACCGAACCTGCCTGGAAGGATGCTGGTAAAAAAGTTGGCCTACAGATCTGGAGAATTGTGGTCAGTTTATCAAACTCATTGCCATTTTGGGCTCATGCACATAAGTCTATTATTAAGTCTAAAAGGGTTAATCTCTGGTCTGTGAAAATATTGTTAGCTTAGAGGCCTAAGTGGGGTGGCTAGGTGGTTAAAAATCATACTTTGTCATGTATACCATGTGCATTATATATTTATACATATGTAGGCCTACATGCCTATACATACACATAATTTTTTATTTTTAAAATTACAATTTATAACATTTTCATACATTTGAAATGCTAATTTACTTTGCTTGCAATGTTAAATTTTTGCATTACCTATATAATAATATATTGTTATAAAATCTAATATTGTAATATCAACTATATCTTGTTACATAATTTAATACTGTTATAACATCTATATCCTGTTACATTAAAAGTAATTCACTTAACAAGGAAGTTCCATGAGTTTTATTATTAAATGTTAGGACCTTGTAAATTTTGAATGTGGTGTATATATGTGTGTGTGTGTGGGGGGGGGGGGGTGGATAATCTTGACACAATTATTCCTTTAGCTCTCTGTGGGTGGGTAAGTGTGTGTTTGTTTTTGTGTAATAATTACAGTTTTAACACTTCAATATTTTTATATTTTTCCATGCTGTGATTGAATCAAATACATTTTATCCTGAATAGAAATTTAAGGTCACAGCTTGGCCAAAGGAAGACTATGGTAAATTTTATGAAGGCGATTCATACATTATTCTAAATGTAAGTGTACGGTGACTCATACATTATTCTAAATAAGTCTACATATATCTTTCTAGCTTCTTAGAAAGGACTTTTTAACAAATGGGTATATATGTATTTTTATGACTTGTGGATATCAACAGGCAACTTGTGAAATAGTTGACCCTATTGGTACCAGGGTAGTCCCATAACATTTTTTTTATAACAATGATAAGTGAAGCTGGAAAAGACAAACTAATAAAATGTAGTTTTTAACATCAAGGAAAGTGTGTTCTTCTTTACTGTTATCCCTGTAGATGAAGCAGGGCTGTAATAAAATAGCACAAAAGTTGAGTTTAATGGTGGGTCAAAGAGGGATTGCTCAAGTCAACCAACTCACTTCATTAGTTCAAATTTATAAACAGGGCTATTTGAAATATTAGAAATATATTTTTGTCCCATGTAAAGCAGTTTCCCATTATTAAATACAATAATTTGAAATATTTTAATTTTATGTAAATTAATCTAGAAAATAATTTTTTAACTTTTAAAAAAAAAAAATTCTGTAAAGACTAAAAAATGCATAATAAAGAAATGACTTATTTCCCTTCCTTTTTCATTGTTTTGTCTCTATCTGTTCTACAGACCTACAAAGAACCAGGTAATGACCAGTTATTATATGATGTTCATTTTTGGATTGGAAGATACAGCACACAGGTAACATACACATAACTAGATTCCTCTGTCTGTAAGAATTAACATAAAATTTCCATTATGCTACAGGCATACCTTCAATGAATAAAATGCTTTGTTGTTGTGTTACTCATAAGTTTACTAGAACACCTGTTGCAGCTAGTTAATAATCTGCTCTCAAAATGTAGAGTTGTGTTGTTTTGTTGACTTAAATGAAACAATTATCTAAAAAGCCCTGTCCTAAGAACCCACAAAATCTCTGAAAATCAAAAAAAAAAAATGTACCTACATTTCAATATTATAGAGGAAATCTCAAGGCTTGTTAATTTTTGAATTGATGCTATGAAATTAAATTTAAAATATCACAATGTTCTTTAAAGATAAGGTTAAAATTGAATTATGACTTTCTGATAAAGTATAATGTACTATGATAACTTAAAATTGCATTATGACATTGAAATAAAATATAATGTATTATGATAACTTGAAAACAGGATGAATATGGTACAGCTGCCTACAAAACTGTTGAACTAGACACGTTGTTGGATGATGTTCCCATTCAACACAGGGAAGTTCAGGGATATGAATCTGACCTTTTTAGGTCTTATTTCAAAACTATTCAGTGAGTTGTTTTTACAGTTTTTGTGTGAGATCAGTTCTTTTGAAGAAAACTCACAGAAATTAAGTTATAATTAAAAATTAATTAGCTAGAAACTTCATTTTTATTCAATTTTATAAATTGAAAACACATTTTTCTCACGCTTCATAACAAATGTCAGACTACCTTCAGACTGCACCATCTTTTTCAAATGTGATATATCTGCACAAGTTCTGTTTAAACATTTACTTTTTACAAACGTTGAACACCCTACCCTACCCTAGGGGTGCGACATATTAACGGATGACCCTAATTGAATAGTTGACATTGTTCCAAATTTCAGACTGCTGAAAGGAGGAGCAGACAGTGGCTTTAGACAAGTGAAGCCAACTGAATATCGGCCCAGACTTTTACATTTCCATGGTGATAAGTTTGGAGTTTGTGTCAAAGAGGTAATATAGAACATTGTACCCTTTAAGTATTCAAAAAAAAAATTTCTATTGTTTTAAAATTTAGAATATGCCTAAAACTTATGTCCTGTACGCACTTGTCTTGTGTATTAGTAGAGAAAAATGTAAAACTTGAAATAACCTAGCTCTGTTTACCCCAGATACAACGCAATCGGAGTGTACTTGATAACTCTGATGTTTACATCCTTGACCTTGGACTTCGGCTCATCCAGTGGAATGGTTCTGGCAGCAATAAAGATGAACGATTCAATGTACGAACTCAAAATATTTTTATTTAATCTTCTTCTAAAATTGTGACTTATTGAATAAGAAATAACTGTAATTGAAATTCTGCTCTTTTGGAAATTATATTGTTTTACTACAATGGTTTTGAACAGTTTGAATTATTTAAAGGAACCTATACTCAGATTTTTCAATGAAATGTGCTTGATAAAAGCCTCAAAACTTTATTTTTATTCATCAGGCAATGAGGTATCTAAAAGGAATTATTGAGGAAAGGTGTGGAAAACCACAATCAGAAGTCCTGGATGATGGGGCAGAAGATGTATGTACTAGTTATCATTAGCATTGGTTGCAACTTTATCTGTAAGCTACTAAAGTTCAAATTTAAAATCTATAAACTGATAGATAATGTACAGGCTGAACTATTATATATATATATATATATATATATATATATATATATATATATATATATATATATATATATATATATATATATTTCAATGTTTACATCCTTATAGGCAGAATTTGTTCGCTAATTGTGATATATTTCAATGTTTACATCTTTATAGACTGAATTTCTTAGCTATCTTGATGAACAAAATGAAGAGCTCCATGACTTCAAGGCAGCAGACAGAACTGTGGAACTGTTTAGGTTTGTTTCATTTCTTAGTCTCATGTTTTTCATATTCGCAGTAAGAAATGTGTTCAAAAAGTGAAACAGTAAAGTGTGGAACTGAACTCTACTGGTCTATATAAACAACAAATATTGTTAACTCTTTGCAGGCTGTCTGATGCAACAGGAGCTTTAAATTTCTCCCTAGAAAAATCTGGTGTTATCAGGAAATCTGACTTTGATACCAAGGTAAGATAACCTTTTTTTTTAAACTTTACATCTATATTTCATGGTCTTCTCTTTATTCACATTATTTTTTATTTTTCATTGAACGTGTAAAATGACCTGAGCTTTGTTGAATGTTTGTATTTGAGAATGTGATATGTCAACAGGATGTCTTCATATTGGACACCAAATCTGAGGTCTTTGTCTGGATTGGAAAACAAACTACTGTCTCAGAGAAAAAAAATGCCTTGGCATATGCTCATGTAAGTGGAGTCAATAGTTCTTAGTGCCAGTTTGTAATTTCTATGTATTAAAATTTACCTTTAAATGATGGACAAATTTGTTTATAGCTTTTCTTAAATAATACCTCCAAGCTTGGTATCATTCAAAACTTGATTAGACTGTTGTGTTTAAATGCTGGTAAATTCACAGGATTTTATTTTTTTAAATGTATTGAAAAATGTTTTTACATTATATATTCACCACACAATAGATTCGTAAAGTTAACTTGATGTTGGATTCTACCAGCTTTCATATAAATTGTGTATATTATAAGCATAAAAGTTTTCTGTATTTCTATGAGAATGTCATTACAATAGCAGTGGTTGATGACTAACAATGTGTTTGTTTTACTCTACAGTCGTACTTGCAGAGAACTGATCACCCATTAGTACCCGTCTGCTGCCTCAGTGAGGGTAGATCAGTGAAGGCCTTTGAAACAGCAATAGCTGCATAAGCTGTTTGTACATGCAAGGCAGTAAAAAGTCTGCATTCAGTTTTTAATTTTTTTTTTTTATTTATAAGTGTTAAAAAATTACACATGTATAATGTAAAAATATTGTCCAAAATCATTTAAGATATAGTAAGATGTACACTGGTAGTGGAATTAACATTTTAGTTCCATTCATGAAATGGTCAACCAATAAAATTCATTCCTGAAGTTTCTTCTGACAACCAACCTGATGCAAGATCAGGTCACTGCGCCTTGTACAAGCCACGCAATTATTTCATACACTTGGGCCCAATCTATCTGTTCATTACTGTCACGTTCTATCGGTGCTTTACTTTCTTGTTGTTATTTTTGTTTACTTTTAAAATATTTGTGATAAAGCTGCATGAAACTGGGGGTGATTTTTTCTGTTATAGATAGCCTTTGAAGAGTATCTGTGGAGTTATTTAACCTTAGCTTTTTTCTCATTCAGTCAACAGTAATTGTCATTGGATCATTTAAATCTAGTTTGCTTGCTTCATGTTTTCTTCCCAGTTATTTAAGAGAATGTAGTTTTCTTTACACCATCTGCTTGATGGTGATTCAATCATTTAAAATGTTTCATTTCTAATGCCAACATGTTTTACTTGTTAATATTAAGTTTAATAAATGCAAGAAAAAATGGTTTGTGTTATAGTTTAGAAGACAAAGTGAGTCTGCTTGAAATTGAACTACAATGTAAAAACCAAATCTGTGGTTATTGCTGATTCAAACATACATCAGCTACAGAGGGCTTGTATGTTTTACATCTAGCTGATGTCTACACTATTATTACTATTAAAATAAATACCTGTATATTATCTAAGTTTCTCAAACACCTTGAACATGCCATCAGATTTGCCAGAAATTGTATTTGTTTGAGGCTGAGCCAATAAATGTTTTTAATTTACCTAAAGCAACAAAGCTGACTGCTCATTAGATACACCAAATCCCAACAAGTTGCTTCACAGAGTCAAACACATTCAAATACATGTGAAAACCAGACAGGAACCCACTCACTACTGAAGCAACTCTCTAATACACAACAAACATTTTCAAAAGCACTCATTAAAATAAATCTTAAATAGAGTAGTATAGCAATTGTTTTTAATGATAACATCTGTAAAGAAAAAATAAATTGCATAAACATTTATAAGTACAGAAACCATTCCAACATACCCTCTTTACAATTTAGTGACTACCTGAACATATAATACTTTGGTATATACAGCAGAGGTAATATCACTATTAGAAATAATATCAAAACTAAAAAATATGTATGTAAAATAAAAAGGTGTAAAATTATTTCTTAAAAAGATAGTAATGGAGCAGATTTTTATTTTACTGAAGAAAAATAAAACTTCCCAATGCTTCCATCAGTAACACATATTTAATACATTTATTTAAAACAGACTTTTCCAAATTTAACCCAAAAATAGTTACACCCCCTGTAAAAACCACTGCTATCTACAAATGTCACTAATTAACTGACAACATTAGAAGGCGTTTTATTTTTTAAGATTTCTAATCTCCTCATATCTGCTACTCATAAAATGTAGTTTCCCTTTCAGACCTGGTAGTCCATGGTGCAGTTTACTTCATCTGCCCCATGGACCAGCAGTTTCTGTCACCTTGGAACATGAATGGATAGTGTGGTCAGCACTAAGCCCAGCCGCCTTTACTTTCTCTAACATGAATCAGGTACCCAGTAGAGCCTGGTTTCCAAACTCAAGACTTTGGTTAGCAGCCATGCACTATACCATCAGATCATACCATCCCATAATAACACACATGGTTGTTGCTAATATTGATTTCACAGCCCATTCATAAAAATCAAACTGGTTCAGATCTTAAACTATAATCATATTTGTACACATTAAAACTAAAATAATGCTGCCTTAATATTGCTTGATAACTAAACCCTATGACAACAATGAAAGTTAAAGCTCTATTTTCTGTGAAATATTTAGATCACTTTCTTGCTGCTGCCCATTCTGAGACTGCCTGGCTGTGATGAACTTCGGGTGGCTGCGCACATGATCCGCTGCTACATAAATTAACCTCATAAATTCATTGACATCAAAAGCATAATTGGTAAATTTGGCATGTGCTCCAAGGGTTGGATGGTGACCCTGAAATTGAAAAATAAAAATTTTTAATGAAAAAGTCATCACATGTACAAAGAGAAATTTAATATTGAAGAGAAATTTAATATTGAAGAGAAATTTAATATTGAAGAGAAATTTAATATTGAAGAGAAATGTAACAGCATTAGCAAGACTAGTCATAAAAGTTGATCTACCTCATCTTCTTGGACTAGTTTTTCTTTTCTTTCCCATGTCATATACTTGATTCCTCTCAGACGAGCCAGGTCATAGTAGCAGCCAGGATCTTCACAGTTATATCTAAAAATGAAGTCGTTGAATACGTTTCAAGAAACTTTTGGAAAAAATGTAAAATTAAATAAACTAAAACATCTGTGAGAAAGTTGTTTTCAGTCACCCAACAAATAATTGATTTCCTTGTATTTTGTTTGCAGAGTGGCTGATTTTAAAGTATTTACAATATGACTGTAAAGATGTGTTGACATACAATTCTATAACAACTGATTTCAAGTGTTTACAATAACTGACTGTAAAAAGTTGTCAACATACTTTTCTATAACAGCTGATTTAAAGTGTTTACAATGTAATAAGTTATCAACGTACAGTTCTATGACAACAGCTAATTTAAAGTGTTTACAATGTAATAAGATGCCAACGTACAGTTCTATGACAACAGCCCAATCTGGTAGAAAGAGCAGATGAGTGAGCCCTGAGCCATGCATCCCAATAAAGATATCACTGTTGTGTGTTGTCTCAAGTTGTCTCTCAAAGGGAACTTTCCTAGAAATAAACAGCGATGATAACTAACTCATTAATTGTCTGATAAACAGGATTAGTGTTGTGTAATATGTTAGTCTATTATACCCACAGAATAGGAAATATTTACATAACACTACATTTGAGTAAGTTAGGGAAAGTAAAGGCGGCTGGGCATAGTGATGACCACACTATCTCTTCATATGCTGAGGTCACTGAAACAAGTAAACTCTACTTCACTTGCCCCATAGACTGTCAGGTTTGAAAGGGAAACTTAACTTTACTTTTTCATTTGAGTAAACAATAGTGAAAAAATTAAATGTGAACAGTCAAATCCAAAGGTTGTAGGCCTACTTTTTTCTCAGAAATTTTTTAAATTATAAATCACATTTTTTTTAAAGCTATGAGTCCAACATTTGTAGAATTGATTATATATTTTGAAAAGATTACCACCAAAGAATTTTTGTACAACTTACCCATTATAATCAACAACCACTACTTCAAATTCCCCATCCATTTTCATAGCAGAAGACAACTTTAATAATTTTTAAAAAAGTGTTATAAAACAAACATGATTTTTATGAATCATAGAACTGTATGGTATTTGTGTAATTAAAAACTTCAGTCATGAAATATATTATGATAAAATAGAAATTCCTGTTGCATATTATATTTACAGATATTTAATTCTAAGGCAACACTTATTTCAATGAACCATACAGTAAAATAATACTTGAATTAAAGATAAAATATTTTTATTATTTTTCTGGGTAATTAAACTTAAGTGACAGATTTTTATTAATGATTCTTACCTCTACTTGGTTTAATATTTTTCTGTATTGAGTTCCACGCACAAGTAAAGTAATACGAATTTTTTTTTTCTGGAAAAGATAATTTTAACAAAACAATAATATTCCAGTAAGTAAGTGCAGCCATTTTAATTTAAAAAAAAAGGTAAACAAATAGATTTTTTATGAAGTGCTTTAAAAATATTGTGAATCTCTTATTTGACAGACTAGTTACACGTTGATAATGCAGATACATTTCTTATGATGCCCTAAGAATTTCACACTTACTAATGGTCCCTGCTGAGTAATGTTGAGCCTGTGAAGAATGTGTTCACTAAAAGCCTTGATTAAACTGCTACCAAAGCAGCCTGGTATCTGGAACAAACAGTTGAAACAATATTTATTCTAACTTTGAAAACCTCACATCAATCTTTAAGGAATAAAAACAAGTCCCTACCAGTGGCATATTGTAGTATAGACCAAATCTCATCCTTGCAAGAAGAGGAAAAACAGCATCTTTAAAACACACCTTGTAGGAGATATTTTGACATTTTTTAAAAATAGTTTCAGCTAATAAATATGAAATTGCCAGATAAAAATAGCATGAAAATGAATTTTAAAATAAGAAAAACTATAACTATATATAAAACTTATGGTGTTTTATAAATTAAAGTATGAGAGAAAGTAAGTTAAGACAAAATAAAATGTGTTCAAATAACTTTTGAAAGAAGGTGAAAACAAGTAGCAGGTCACCTTTTTTCCATCCAAATCTTTTAAAGCTATCACTGGGTGATCTGTAAAGGCTTTCCAAGTGACGCTAAAAAAATCTCCATACGGCAATGGACTCTAGAATTTTCAAAATAAATAATCCATGTATAAACAATTGTTACAATTTATATTTATAATGAAACTAGTATGATCAAATGGTGTGTTGTTACAATTTATATTTATAATGGAACTAGTATGATAAAATGGTGTATTGTTACAATTTATATTTATAATGAAACTAGTATGATAAAATGGTGTGCTCTGCCATGTCCTCACGAAGATAAATGCAGTGATATACATTATTTGGTTCTTCTCACGTGATATTTAGAAATTACAAAATAAATATAAAGAATAAAGTTGACAACTTACTGTGTCCCACATAATAATGTTGACATCTGTGTTAAAGGAGTTGTTGATATGTTGTGATGCATAGAGATTGACGAAGTCACAGAAATGATGGTACATGTTGATCCCTGAAGATTATGATAATCTATTACTCCACATCAATATTTAGGTTTAAGAAACTAACTAAAAATTTATTAATCACCTGAAAACACAGATAGCAGAAACAGCTTTTCACAGGAATTCAGTAAATATTACAAAATATATTTGAATGTTACCGAGTAAATAAATTCTTAAAATTTGCTCACATAGAAAAGAACAGATTGTCAAACTGAAAAGATGCAGCAGTATAAAAATAAAATAAAATCTTATCTTTACCAGCATCTAACTTAATCAGGTAAGTAGGTTTGTCAAACACCAGCTCACACTGATTCCCCTCTAACGGGTAAAAATCAGTGGCTGTAAAGTGTTCTAATTCAGCAAACCTAAAAAAAGAAAAACAGTTTGTTTAAACAATTTATGGACTAAAAGTTAAGCCAAGTACAGTACAGTGTACAAGATAATTATTAATTGATGATTTAGGAAATGATATGCAGTTTAAAACTTATATATTTAAAAGTTCTTTAATCAAATGACTGAAATTAAATTACCATGACTGTAAAGGACTTTTGTGCTCTCCTTCTGACTTTAAAGCTTTCACATCTAACTGACAGTGGCCCCCTACCTGGCCAGGTCTTATCACATCTTCTCGATATCGATTTCTACAAAATGTTTTTAAAATATCTGCTGTATTATTTAAAAAGAATATAACTTAAAGTTAAATAAAGAACATTGTTTAATATAAAACATCAAAAATCCTAAAAACAAAAAAAAAATGTGAGTCTCAGATAAACAATTTTTAAAATTCACTCTGGAAAAACTCCATTTGTACATAGAAACTTGAAGATCTATTTAACAGCAAATAACACTGAATAGTCTATTTAAAAAAGTAATTACGTTACAGATGGTGTGGAAATGGGCAAATAAAAAAGATAGAATAATTTATAATTATATTATTGATGCAGGAAAATGTATATGCCCTTGGAAAGTTACAATTTTAAAATAGTAAATGAATATTTTTTAAATACAAAAGCTACCAAGAGAATTTTTAAAAAGAGTATCATGACCTCTTTACAAGACAAAGCAATAAAACAATAAAAAAATGAATTTATAAAATACAGATCACAGGCAAAAAGTTTGTTTTTAATCTTATGTTTTGTAAGATTTCCAGTTGTCTGGGTCAAGCCCTAAGGATAAAGTTTCATGGAAACCAAATAGAAACAAAACATGAACAAGTTTTACATCAAAATTGTGTACCATTGATATTCTACCTTTGAAAACCCATTGATTTATCTTAGTAGCTTATTTATGTCAGGTTTCAGACAAGCTCTAATACCACTTATTAACTAATTTTAATAACACTTTGATAAAATCATTTATTTCTTAGTATTTTGTCTTTTTTCAATTAATTGATTGTTCAAGTAGTAGGCCTGTTACTATAAGACAGTTATTATCAAAAGTCATGTAGCATTCTAATGTTACTGGAGTGTAAGACCCTTTAACTTGTACCTTTAACCCTTAATATGTAAGCTTAAGCATTTACCATACCATGCCACACAACCAAGTATGACATTTTCTGAAGCCACTCAGTTTATCAATAATCCTAAAAGTCTTGTTAATATTGTCATTCCATGTTGTTTCCATAAAACGTTATCCATGTTGATCTCTTTTCCTTTTTTTTGAGGATAAATAATTTTTAAAGTATCCTAATAATATAAGTTTATAAGAATCTAAAAGTGAAAATAAATAAGAAAAAACCCTCGGTAACTCATCTTGGGGGTTATTTCCCTTTAATCAATGTAATTAAATTTTTTATATATGACATATTTATCTGCATATTTACAATATTTAAGACATTTTAAAAACATTAATTAGTAATATAATAATTCAAGTTTTTTTAATGTAAAAACAAAGGTTAAATTAAAAATTGTATAAAATTAAAGATATTTGTATCTTGGTAACTTTAAAGTTTTAAACTAAAAGCTATTTTAAATAATGATTTATTAGAAACAAGCTAAATTTCAGTTGTCTATATTTATGTTACATTCATTCAGGTAAAACAATTTCGCATAATCATTATTTTCAGTACTTTTAAAAATGTTTTTCTTATGCATATAATGCTGTGTATTACTTCCTGCAACCATGCTACAAGTATAATTGTATTTATAATATTACCTGTTATTGCTATTCACAATATTTGCAGAGGAAAAGTCAAAGTAAATATTCTTAGCTCTACAATATCTTAGGTACTTTGAGCACTCAAGACTTGAATCTTTCTGTTTGAATTGTTGTGAATAAACACATTAGGTTTGCTCAACTTTACAAAGAGGATTTTGTTAATTCATAAAAAAGAATTATAGCTTTAGAAATGTATTATTGCAGTATGATTTTAATTTAGAACATTAGTGATTAATACATAATAATTTACAACAATGGTAAACTGAATAAAAAAAAAGGATTAAATACCTTTAACTGGGGCTTGCAGAGAAGAGTGAGTTCCCTTTGTCTTTCTGCAATCATGCCAAAATCTGCTGTTAGCCAAAATTTTTCTTCCTGCTCCGACTTGGATTTGGCCCTAGAAAAAGTAATTATACTAATACAGTAACAATTTTTAAAATTTATTATAGAGTAGTTGCATACTTAAAATACAACAAACTGACCCAAAAAAAACAATCAATAGATCTTCAAAAATAAAAAAATAGTATCCACAATGTTCTTATTATTTTTTTTTAAAAATGGTTACGGCTGGTGACACTATGGTATGTGTTACAACACAAAATTCAAACTTTACCAATTACGGCTATCCTCTGGACAATAATGTCTGCTGTAGCGATCCTTTTTGTCGCATGATTTCTCATAGCCCCAACATCCAGTTTTATTGATAAAATCCTATTTGAAAATAAAAGTGCGTAGTTCTTTGTGATTAACAATTAAATTATGTGGTTAATTAATTAATCAAATTTGTAAATTAAGTAATTAACTGTTTTACCAACAATACAACAAGATAGATCAACATTACTGTTTTCACATTTGCAAAAATAATTTTATAAAACACATTTTGTAGGGAGTGATTAAATTTTAATCCAAGTTAATTAACAATATTTACCTTAAATAAGCATGTTTCATCCTTTTCACACAAGATTAGTAGATCTTTATTATTTTTAAAAAAGAAGGGTATGTGCTCTGAAGGTAATTTCAAATTGCTCCATTCATATGTATTAACTTTTAAACCATGCAAGAACATTATGATAATAGTCACAATTCCATTGAACATCCTGAAAATAAGAAATAAAACATTGCCTTCAATATTATTATTTACTATTAGGCCTGATTAAATAAAAAATTATTAGTATGCAAAACAAAGTTTACAATTTGACTAATACTCTTCTTCCTGTACCACTGATAATGCTATTTCACTTACAAACCTAACTCCAACATGAAGCAAAAAGTGTATTATAAAATTGCTAAAGAAAAATTCAATAAACTTATTTTTTTAAATGCTAAGAATAAGTTCCAAATAAGAGCCATTATTTAAACTTGCCTGTCTGTTATATAATAGTCAGCCTTTAAAGCCTAGATAAATAGCTAATCAATGAAATTCAGATAGTTACACACAAAAAAGTATCTTTAAAAACAATACAAGCCACCACGTTTAAAGTATTTTTAGTCTCATGACTCCACAAGCTGGCTTTCTGTTTTCATTTTAATGCAAATGACTGTGGGTATACTACAGACAAACGGACGCATAATTTTGGACAATGGTAGAACCAATCAGTGGTTTGGGCAAGGGGTGCCAGAGGGAGGTGCTATAACCTTCCCTCCATAGAGCCCCAAAATGAAGTTTATCTCATGTTAAGTTGCTGCTACTGTTAACTGGGGGCTAGTAGCCAAGAGTGTCCTGAAATTCCCATAACACCTAGGCAGTTGCCCTAAGTGGTATGATACATCACCCCTACTGATGGTGATCAACGTACATATCAACATACATTCAAGGTATTCATACATCACACACCATCTGGCCTCTGTGCATTAATGTAGACAAACCTACGCTCCAAATGTTAAGATCCAAGAAATGGAAGGAATAGCTGACACAGCAAAGTGATATCCCATGCTGATATGTTAAACACACCTCACACAGAAGTGGGGTGTAAATTTCTTCACAAATGTATAAACTGTTTTTATTGTTAGAGCAAACTGCATTATTGCTTTCTTCAGTGTATGTAGTAAAAAAGTATTCTGAGGTCAATAAGGGTCACCCATTTATGATGTCTACAAAAATTTCAGATTTAATTGCATTTTTTACATGCAAGATGCGAGTTTTATGTTTGTTTTAAAATATTACTTTGACCTAAAATTCAACATGTGGACGTCTGCATGGACTAGAACCCCACCCCTTCACAAAAGTCTATTTTTTTCTGAATCCTCCTCCCTTTGCGTGTATGTCATAAATTGAAATAAATGGATGACCACTAACTGATAGTGATACAAATGAACGCTACTTCACCTGCCCAGCGTCTTTCTTTTGTCACACTCAAAGTGTTGTGGCATTAAAATTGAACGTTAAAGAATGGGAAGAAACTTGGTAAAGAGCGAGATGCGAAGCGATGAGACGGTAAAATCATAAAATGAATTAAAATGCAAGAAGTAGAAGGGTGCAAAAATGGCCTGTCTTGTGACAGTTTTGTTTCATATTTTACCCCCAACAGATTAGTTTTAGTTAGTAGTAGGCTTAGTGTGGGGAAAATTAGTTATTATTAATTTATAGGCCTAATTTATTAAATGTCGACAATTCGGATAATTATTAGTTACTTTAGTAATATTTATTATTTATTATTTATTTCGCATCTCGCATTTTACCAAGACCCGAAGAAAGATGACTTTTTAAAAAATATAAAAATTGACCCTTATCATTATTTAGCTAGTTTAAATATTAATATAGATCTAGATCTAGATCTACCTCGCCAGTCGAATACCAGGTGTAGGCTAGATATCTAAATTTGGAATCTGCTACTTTTACTTTTGCCTACTTTACTTTCGGTTTCGTGTACGTACACCTCATTTCCGTAGTGCGTAAGAGTAATGTGCGCATTTCAAATCTCGCGTTAGACTTTCGAGACTTCAGGCAAAGGCCAATGAACAAACAGCTTCTCTTGCGTCGCTAAAAACTTGGGTCACAACCTCTGACCTTTATTTACAGACTACGAGGACACGGCATATTTTGACAATTAAGCTGTAATTTATTTTGTAAACCGTTAGAAGGGTAAGCTATCATAACAATAACGCTCTTTAATTACAATGTAAATAGATATTTGACACCCCAACCTTCCTAAATGTCCCCATATTCTGAGGTGTATTTTCGCTTTGGGAGAGCCGCCATTTCAGTCCGAAACAAAACCACCTCAACTAGGCTCCCGCGTAGAAATTTCGTAACGGATCTTTATTTCGTTATAACTTCGATGACTCTAATTAAATTCGCAATAATGCCATATTAAACGTGTCGCAGTTTGTCAAACGTTTTATTTTGCTTGAGGGGGTTGGCTGCCTAATTTGCCGGTCAGTTAGGCAGGAAGTGTTGCTATTTTTTTCGAGGCGATGAGAGGCCATCGTAAACATAACCCCCTCCTTCGCCACATGGGTTTGGGTGCATGACCTTTGGCTGTTTGTATATCATTGACACACTTGGGTTATTTTTGTAATTGTTTAATTTAATTTTCTTGTGAATTCGTAATTTTTATTTTTCCACGTCTCTTAAAATAGTTTTCGAATCATATAACCGATCGTCATCCCAGGACTTCAGCCGTTCCCGATAATATCGATCTCCTTCAACCTTTGTCCTTTAGCTCACGGTCAGCAAAATAGATCTAGGTCGCAAGAATATTTTATGCAAATTTATCGGTCACTGAACTGTTGCGCCAATTTCTAGGTCTAGAAAGTTATTTTGATTTACACGATTTTCGTCAACATAACATCGCTCTATTTTACATCCCCACATCACAGAAATGTGCATTTAGAACGAGATCTAGAAATCTACGTACCCATCTAGATCTAACACTGGCCTTAGATTTTAAAATCTAACATAGAATCTAGATCTAGACTCTAGCTAGACTCAAATGTGATATGCCTAACTTAAAGCGGGAAGTGTAGATCTACACTGACGTTATTTTTAGCAACATCCCAACTTTGGTTGATAAAAACACTTCATTCCACAACACTTTCCTTTGTTGTAGATCGAGGATCAGGTCTAGATCTAGAAATTTACATTGTAGGCTAACGTCAAAAGAGATGGGGCGATTTCGAGTTAGAGATCTAGATCTATATGGCACTTGGCATTTTACACAATTTTAATGATTTAATTCAACCTACAATATTCAATAATAGATTAAATTTTAAATAGATCTAGATTCTAGATCTATATCTGACAATATAATAATTATCTACTATCTAGACTAGACTCTACTTAGTCCTTAGCTTAGATCTAGAATCTAGTCTATAGACTAGATCTAGTTAATACAACTCAGAACTCACACTGAACTGATGGAATACAACCCTATTCTCATGAAAATGGTGGGATTTCAATTTTTATATATTATATAATTAATATAGGGCCTAGATATATAAAAGTTTTAAGTAGAATCTAGTATGCCTATCTATTCTAGACTAGATCTATTAATTAAATCGATGTCTGGACCTAGTATACTAGTATGTATGACCTATGGCCCAGTATGGCCTATAGAAATAGGCTATAGATTCAAGATTGTGTTATTACTTATTGGTGGTTCCTAAAAATTTAATTTAATTTAGATTTTAGATCTAGTCTAGTTGGTTAGTAGGTTATGTTATGTGGTCTCTAGAGAAAATACTATGTCAAATTTTATGAGCAACTAAATGCTTTTACTAGAGAGGTTTTTTAATATCCCTTATACTAAAAATTTCCTTTGCTCCCCGCCCTTCCTCCTGATTGGCATTACAGCCCTTCATACTAATTGAAATTTTTAAACAACAGCACTGTTCTTTTATCTCCAGCTATCTTGGTGTATGTTGTACGGACAATTTTCACACCACTATGGCTACTATAGAGGAGGGAGGATCAATTGAAACTAAAAAAGAAATAAATCCAGATATTGATGTTGTCACTGCTGAAGTCATGGATGGCACAGAAATGATTCACGTAATGACCACTGGTAGTTCAGGATCAGTAACACTTCCCCTGACACTGACCCAGAGTGGCCTGGTTTCTTTAACTTCTTCTGGACAATCTGTAAGTAACATCCTGATAGTTTTTCTTTCACAATTCTATTTCTTGATTACTAATATACAAGGATTAGTGTCAATAAAGATATTGATCACTCAGCTTAATCAATATGTGCATTGATTTTTTGTAAAGTATTATGCCAACTACTTTTATTTTGAAGTGACAGTTCTTTTGTTTTTATTTAATCCTGTGTGTATTGTAAATGCTGTTTTGTTGAAGAAATTCAGTTATTTTTTTGTAAGATTATTTTTAAAAATGCTTTGTGATTCCTTCTACAGTTAAATGCCCAAGTTTTGTTTAAACTAAATGTCATTTCTTTCTGACCTCACAACACACATGACACAGATGACTGACCAAGGCATCACTTATTTACTGCAGGGTGGCAGCATGTCCAATGGGAATCAAGTGGTCATGTCTGGTTCTGATTTAACTCTTCGACTTAAAGAGGGAAGTACCCAGGTGGTTCATGTACCTGCTAATTCTTTTACACAGGTTGATTGGGCCTCTAAATTAAAGGTAGGTCGTCTTTGTTTTATTGTATTTTAAAGTTGATCGTGATGGAAATGAAACAGAAGCTGTTAGTTTATTTTTTGTGTTTGTGTGTCTAGGAGTTGCAGCATGCACAGCGCCTTGAAAGATTGAAGGTAGAACAGCGACAGATACAAGACAGAGTTACCCAGAAAATGCAATTTGAGCAGAAGTATGAGCCCTGTGTTGTATGCGGTGACAGAGCATCTGGTAAATATAAATGTATTTTTTTAACAGTTTTTAGGATCTGCTTATCAGAATGATTGTTAGGCTACAAAGTGACTAATGAATTTTAAAATTTGTTGCTGATTTAAAATACAAAATGGAACTGTAGCAACTATTCTCAATAAATTCTAAGCAACATAAGCATAGACAAAATCAACAAAGGATCAGTTTGTTGTGTTTATATTTTAATATTACTGCTGCCTAAAATAAGGGTTGATTCAGTTAATCTTCAATTTTTTTTCAATAGGAAGACATTATGGGGCAATTAGTTGTGAGGGATGCAAAGGCTTTTTTAAAAGGTCAATTAGGAAACAATTAGGCTATGCCTGTAGAGGTGCTCGAGATTGCCCTGTGACAAAATTGCATCGCAACAGATGTCAGTATTGCCGGTTACAGAAATGTCTAGCAGTGGGAATGAGATCTGAATGTAAGTTTATTTTGCCACTATGTAAGCACTGTTTTAGCAAAGGTGTTCACTTTTAAGTGATAACATTATTCAAACTTTCAGGGGACCAGACTTTAATTTTAAAATGTCATCTACTTTTCAGCTGTACAGCAAGAACGCAGGCCAAGTGATCAAAGAGACAAGGTACCTGGTACAGTTGCCACCTCAACACAGAGGATTTATATCAGAAAAGACTTTAACAGTCCCTCTGCAGCAATACCAACATTTAGTCCAAAGGTTTAATATCATTACAATTCAAAGTTTACACATGTGATCAGTTTGATCATTGATGGCAAACATTGATTCATAAAATGTATGAAAAATTCTGTTTCTACTCTCAAACAGGGTATTGATGATCAAAAATATGGCAGTCTTTTAGCAAACTTACAAGAGCGAGTTGTCCATACAGACCAAGGAATGGTGGTCCTTAGTTCTCAGATGTCACCTAACTCAACCATCAATACAGGTTTGCTAATCTTTTGCAATTATTATATGAACTTTGATCTTAAAGTTTTGTACTATGGCTTCTCTTTGTTTTTTGGGTGGAATATGTTCATATTTCTTTCCTGCTATTGGCAATTATTTTAGATTTAAAATTAAACATTGTCATTTCAATTTAAAGGGGAACTAAATACTTGTAATAGGAATGTACATTACTACTAATAATGATTGAACTAACCTAATTAAATGTGTGTTGTGCTGTCCCTTTCTGTTAAGCATTGAGTTGATTTGTGATTTTCCTAGAACTTAGTTGTTGTTTTTATTTTTGCTTTGCTACCACTACTTTTAGACATTTGTAGTTGTTGTGTTTAATATCAATTAATTTAGTAAGCTTAATAAGAAGCAGCCATTGCTAGTACTTTTGATACATACGTAACCTTTTTAATGACCTCAGTTTTTGTGAGATTTTGCCCCCTCATTGGCTCAACTAGATTTTATTTATTAAAATAGAGACTGCTTCTTATTTCTAAATGTTGTTAGTTTGCTTCTGTCATACACATATATTAAAGCATGAAATAGATCAGTGAAAAGATCAACTAAATGTTGAATTCTGTATCAGTTTAATTATTTTTTGCAACCTCTTAATTTCATAATAATGATAGGCAGCTAGGCTATAGTACCAATTTTAAATAGCTACTTACATATTTAGTTATTTGTCAGATACTTAATTCTTTGGTCACAATATAAGGGAGTTAAATCTTTGTGTGTTTGTTTTTATGTTTTGTTTATGGATATTTGTTTTTCATTGTGTGCTTTAGATCTCACCACCTTAGCCAATGTTGTCAGCACAGTGAGCAATACAGAAGGTAAATTTTAGGTCTTTTCTTCTCAAATACATTGGCCATTTATCCATAACCAAGAGAGAATCAAGTAGCTATTGATTAGACTACGAGTTATAACCAAAGCTAACTTATACTAGTTGCGTTGACGAATTAAAAACTTTTTTAACGTTAAGGCACAGGCAGGCTTTTCTTGTCATTAGAATGAAATAAGTCCTCATCTGAAAAAGAGGAATTACTTAATTTATAAAAAATAGCATGAGTAAATAAAGATAATTTGTTGTTATTTCCAGTGATGTCTAACATGGCCATAGAAGGTTTGTTGTTATATTTTCCATCCATTTTTAACAAGTCCCTTAAAATAAGTTTTAGCTATTTTATCATAAATTTAAAACTTTGTCAGAAGAATAAGCTTGTTCTACTTTAACTAGTTTATACTTGATGTAAAGGTTTTAAAACAGAATGATATGCACTGTAGTTATTTTGCATGTGGTTAACATGCTGCCTCATCCAAACATTTTTTTAACATAACGTTTGCATTAAGTAACATTGTGTGCCTTTTATGCAAACTTTTTTTTTCCCTAGAGGTACAGCATGCATCTTATTAAAATATTAATAATTGATTAATTAAAGTTTGGCCATAACATTAGTTTCTTTATTTCTTTTTTATCCTTTTAAAGATTATAATTTTATTTAAAACCCAGATATCTAGCTTCCTAGGCCATATTGGTTGATTTGTGTTCATGCTTTTTTGCCTGCTTTTTATGCTTTTAATTTTAGCTAATCTGATTCCTTTTTTCCCTTTACTAAATGCTTTTTACCTTTGCTTAAGCTAGAACTTTCCCAAAACTAATTTTTTTTTTTTAAATGTCATTACGTTTGTTGTAGCAGTTTAACTGCCTGTATGTTTTCTATAGGTTTATAAAGAGCTCTATTGAAAAAACAAATGAGTTTTAAATTTTATTATTTTATGTTTTTGCTTAGCCATTATAAAAATGCTTTCAATATTTTCTTTATTTGGGCTACTTTGATCACTGCTTGGTCTTCTTACCTTTAATTTGGTTCTAGTGTTAACACATTTATATTATCAGATCTGGCAACACTTGCAGATGTTGTGTGCACAGTTAACAACACAGAAGGTAATCTTTGGTTTTTCACAATTCTGTTAACATTTTAATGGTCTGTTTACTTTCATTTTTCCTACTAATTTTTTTGTTGCGAAGCAATTTTAGTCAAAAACATGAGCCAAAATTGTTTTCTAACTTGCTTTATGTAAACTTTGTAAGCTGTTTAAGGAATTAAAAAAATATTAAGTAGGTTGGAAATCTTAATTATTTACTAGTTATTTATTGCATAAATTAAGACATTGTTTAATCATAGGCTTATTTTTAAGACATAAGCTAGTATGTGTTTTTACATCTAACACCAGCACTATGCACTGTTGTATTTTTCAATTTGTCATATACTTCAATAATTCATTTTATTTTATACCTCATCATTGCAAGAAAAAAAAGTAATTCACATTTTTTGTTGGATAGATCTCTCAACCCTAGCTAGTGTAGTGACAACATTAGCCACAATGAGTAAAGAGGAGGTCAATCTTGATGACTTGTCCAATCAGAACAATTCACCTTCCCACAACAATGGAGATATCAGCCGGGGCACACCGGATGCTGCAGCCAGAGCTTTTGACAATTTGGCCAAAGCTGTTCAGAGCCCACAGAGCCAGGTCAGGAAGTTTGGTAACAAGACTGTTACAAACTACTCATTTCAATAAACATTTAGCATTATATTTGTATAACGCAGTTTATTTTTCAATCATATTCTTATGTAAACATATGTTCCTTTCAGGGTGGGGCTGTTCTTGATCAGTCCATGTCTGAAGCTAGCTTTGATCAATCAGCCAATAGTGATGGTGAAAATTCTCTTTTAGTTGAAACCCCAGGTATGTCTCATCCTCTGGTCATCTGTAACCAGCTAGATAAAACCTCATATTCAACTTGTCAGTCTTTATTTTCTTTAAAAAAATGTCCACCTTAAGTGTAAATATGCATTTTAATGTAAATATTTATTTTTATTTTCTTATATTAAGAAAATATTTTATCCAACAGACTGCAAATTGTTTACTTTAATGGCTCATACCTGGATTTGTTCACAGGTCCACTATTAACAGAAGCTAATTTTGCCTTCACTTTAACCACTCCTTCTCCCATGCCAACATATCTGAACATTCATTACATTTGTGAAAGTGCATCACGACTTTTATTTCTCTCAATGCATTGGACAAGATCTGTCTCATCCTTTCAAGAACTGGGGTAAGTCTTTAATTCTTAAAAGATATTTTAAAAGGTCTGAAAATAACTGATTATAACTTAATTACGCTAATTTGAAAGCAGCATCTGCATCTCTACCATTTAATAAATTAAAAAAATAACCAACTGTTGGAACATTAAAGACAGTTTACGGTCTGGAAAGTTAGGTTTTGGTCTAGAAAGAATATGTATGGAATGAAAGGCACAAAAATGAGTATGCTAACACTTTCTCTGATATCTGTTTACAGTGCTGATGTTCAAACAGCGTTGGTTCGTTCATGCTGGAGTGAGTTGTTCACTCTTGGATTGGCTCAGTGTTCAGCCACTATGTGTTTACCTACAATGTTGGCAGCTATCTTGAATCATCTGCAGGGTAGCTTACAGCGTGGAGGTAAGTTGCATCATTAATAGCTGATTTTTTTTTTTTTTATAAATTCCACTTTTCTTTAAGTCTGGGCATGGTATATGTGACCAGTTCAATAACACTGAAGGTTGGTATTCATCAGACTAGTGTCTTAGCACATAGATGAACGTGCTTTTTGGCACATCGCTAACAAAAATAGGAAAGGATAGTTGTATAAGTAGCTTAGTCCTGTTGCAGAATTTAAAGCTTGTCATCTGTTCATTCAAGAGGTATTACTTCAAGCTGTGGTTTCATTTAGTGAAGTTAATGTTGTTAGTTTTAATTAAAAAATAGTAATCTTGAATTCTTTCTACAATCAAAGCAGATCACACAAATCAAGACAAGGTGAAAAGTGTGATTGAACATATCATTAGACTTCAAGATTACGTGACACACACCCAGGGCCTAAACATCTCTCCCCCAGAGTATGCCTATCTAAAGACTCTTGTGCTGTTTGCTCCAGGTCAGTCCACCATCACTTCTATTTTACAATGCTTTAATATTTTTTTTAATATTCTCATTTTAAATCTTGAGTTTTATTATATTGAATTTAATTCCTGTGTAGATAATCCCAATGTGCGTGATAAAAAGTTGATAACACGCTTGCAAGAAAAAGCCAGGAAGGAGCTCCTCCAATCTTGTTCATCACCAGGAAGTTCAGAGCGTGTCTCACAACTTCTGCTACGTCTGATCCCACTCAAGACATTTGTACCTGCCATTATGGAAGAGCTTTTTTTCTCTGCCTTGACAGGTTCTGTGCAGATTGACAATATTATACCGTATATCCTTCGTATGGAAACAGCCGAGTATAATTTGCAGATGACTGGGCAAACAGGTGCTGCTTCTGTAGCAGGTATCACTGGGGGAATAGCTGTGCCAGCTTTACATGACCCTAATGCACCAAATCAGCCTCCAAGTGTTCCCATTGTGCTTGAGTCAAGTCATCATCAAGTCACACTATCTGGTGACTCACACAACATCAGGAGTGGTGGCGACCACTCAAATAACCCCCACTCTAATAATGCAAACCTAGGTATCCGTGCCTCCTTGATATCAGATGCTGGTCAGGTTTTAACTCTTTACACAGATGCATCTCATGCATCTTCCTCACAGAATTCATCCTCAGCGACATGAGTGTCACAATGTTGAATCATTATATCTGACATAATAGCACAATGTAACATAGCTTTATTTTTGTTGTGCATTTGTTGAAAGGATCAAGTGCTGATTGTCTTTATTGACTTTGAAATTTTAAGGTGTAGTTTGTGGCTTTTAAAAACCGTGACAATTTATTTCACACAGTTCATTTTTCACATTATCTTTTTCCATTGCATTGGAATTTATTTTTTTAAGTTCTATCAATTTAATTAGGACATAAAAAACTGATCACCCTGCCTGATGAAATAGTAATTTGGCAATGTTTTTAACTGAAAAACTTATTAGCTTGCTGAGATTCTTAAAATTTTAGTGACATACTTCACTAGTCAGCTTAATTTTTTTATTTGAAAAAAATACAGATTACAAAAATATTCCAATGTTACTTGTAAATATTCATGCACCAAATTTTTTCTACACAACTCCTTTCGCTGATCACAATGAATATTTTTATTTGTGGGTACTTCATCTTGACAATGCTTTTATTTATTCACTTACCATGACGATGTCATTTATTAGCGTGTGAGATGCCCTTTGTGCATTAGGATGACTTAAGTTTTGGTATGGATTTTTCTGCCCAGGTTGAATATACATACACTATATTTTTAATAATAGTAATTTTTAGTTTTTTGCTTTATTAAGCAATTAGTTTAATGAATGTCTAATATTTCACTGGCATTTGCAGAAGAATTATTACTCCAATATTTGTTGTAAGGTGAACTAAATACTTGCATCTGGAAGTTGCACTCTCTAGACCTACTCACTATATTTGACTGTTTGACAAGCTGTAGCTGTACTTAAATATCTTTTTTCTTTTAAAATGGCCTGTGATAGTTATTCCTTTTTTGAAAAGGATAAAAATTAAAATGATGCTCTAATATATAGTCATTTTTTTTTCTTTTGTTGTATGTAAGGTAATTGGAACAATTTTCTTAATACTGTTTGTATAAAAACATTAGTGTTATTCATCAGCATCCGCCCCCACTCACTAAAGGTCTTGCCTTCTTTGTTGTCTGGTGTATATTTAAATATAGCTACAAAAGTTGCTTTCAATTTTTCAAATTGTTCTGTTTCAACTGCCCAGTACTGTATATTCTGTGAAAATTGTGATATTCTGAACTTGTATAAGTGAGAAGTTTGACCTTTTAAGTTCTGCAAGTAATTCAAAGCCTTGTGTTTAGCTGCTTGACCATATTTTTTATTTCCGTTTCATTTACCCATTATTTTGTCTGCAGCCAAATATTGCATTATTAGGTGCACTACTAACAAACCACATTTGCATTGATTTGAATGTCATTTTTCTTTAGCACAATAGAACAGGTGTGAGTTTAAAATAGCCAACAAATCAAATTTATTAGCATTCAGGTTGTTACATTTTAAAATTTTATTTTCTGTTGTTTTTTTTTTTTTTTTCAAACAAAAGCTAGACTAGAAATAAACAAGATTTAAGAGTTAAAATTGTGTAATTAGGCTTATAACCCCAATCTTTGATGTCTACTTTATCACTTCTGTACATAATCTTGTGTCATACCTGCATAGACAAATTCACACACAATTCAGATTGTCACTTGGGGAATTGTATAAAAGATGAGTTTACTAATTTATAAATACAATACTTGAGGTGAATGTATAGTTTCAAAGTTATTTATTGAAATCACATATTAACATGTTTATTGTAAAATCAATGATGGAGCATAGCGACATGTCTGCATGCAGTCACATGTGCCATAACTGGATAGATGACAAGTTTTGTTTGGTTTGTACAGCTTTTCATATTTTCACCATTTCTTGTGTTCATTTACTTCCCAAAAACAAATATTTTATTTCACTTGTACAGTTAACATGCCTTGGTTCATAAAATTATTAAATTACATATATAAATACTTTCATGTATTTTTAATGCAACAAATACACATTTTTTGTATAGCACTTCTTGGTGCATCATTGTCACTAAGTTACTGTGAATATATTTTTTCTAATACATCTGTTCATTTTGGCTTTAAAAAATCCCATACAACGTTTAAGAGGTCAAGTCTATCTTAAATATTTTCTGAATACAAAAAAAATGTTTACAGAGGGAAGTAAAAAAAGTTGTTTTACATATTTTGGGTTTTAAAATTATTATTTTTTAATCTGTGTCATACTTATTTTATTGAATTCTTAAATTTTCTCTTCGCCTAAGGTTGAAAAATTTCTTTATAGCACCGTGATTTTTTTTCTGTTAATCTCGTCATAAGTGTGTTAAGTTGGCCAGTTAAAACGTTTACATGATGTCTCATGGTGTAGTTTTTTTAAGAGCAAGAGATGACAAATTGTACTTGTACCTACAAATGGTAATTTATTCTACTTATTCATGTGTAATCTTTTAACTTAACAGTAAGGTGGAAACTGAAATATTTTTTCAAGTGTTTTGTGTTGTTTTACCCTTGATAATTAAATTGTTTTAAGTTTTTTCTTTGCCAAATGATTATAAAATATTTGCAGTATATTTTAAGATGCTAAATAAACTTCTATTCTGGAAAAACGTTTTGTACTAGCTTGAACCCAGCTAATCTACTTGAAATAGTGCCAGCTGTTTCAGCTTTAGACTAAAAACGTTTAGTCTTGTCGTTTGGTTGAAATCCATTACTTTCCTGACATTTTTCTCTTATCCAAGGAATCTCATAGCTTTTGTCCTGCCTCAGAATTTCATCTTTAAATGATATACATGTAAAGTGTCACTTTTTTGTCTTTGTCCAACTATTGTCCCTTATGCTGTCAATAAAAATGTAAAATCTTTATTGTTTATGGCTTCACTAATTTGCTTGAAAGAAACACTAAATCCTGATAGGTCTGAAACTCCAGTAACAAAAAAAAAGAAAAAAATTGAGTTATTTTAAAATCATTATACTGTTGCACCTTGTGTGTGTGTATACATGTATATCCACTATATTAAATACTATAGGCCTACATCAATCCTGCCTGTGCCACTGTACAACATATAAATGCTACATATTTAAACTTAATTCAACACTATTTTGTATAATATAGTTTTACTTGACTATCCAATCTGTTAACTAGAATATGGTCACTTTAAGCATGTGGCAACAAAGGTAATAAATCAGCACTCTACTAATACCAAACGGACATTGTAAGCTTTGAGGGAAAATGTTCTCAGTTACCTAAGTAACTCAGTTCTCTTACATCCAAGTGGCTTTTTGGTTATTTTCATCTTTATATCATTTTGACGGGAAGCCATGGTCGGATGGTAAAGCTTGCAACTGTTAACTCTTTTAAAGTATTGAGTTCAGATCCGGGCTTGTGTTTGTTGAATGTCCCTTAGTCTATCCAGCTCTGACCAATAAAGGCTGCTGGAGATAATACCTCCTTATACCGCGTTTACACTTGCAACATGTATACTATACACGTCTAGAAAAAAAACCTTTGCAATAAGTGAGTAGGCTCCCCTATTATCTTAGGCCCTATAGCGAAGTTTTTTTCCTAGAAATGTATAGTATACATGTGGCAAGTGTAAACGCAGTATTAAGAAACAGAAACAGGTGAACTCAACTTCATCAGACCTATGAACTATTGGGATTGAAAAGGTAACTAAATCTAAAAAATTAAACATCAATTTGAGTTGGGTACATGACAAACTGCTCATTATCCAGTAACTTGATTTAAATGTTGAATAAAACATCATTGTAAATTCTGTTAGGGATTTTTGTAACAAACAAGACCAATAACAGGTTACAGGAAGAAAAACAATAACTACTGAAATTGTTTTCAAACAGTTTATAAAATTTCAATTGTTTGACCAAAATGACATCATTAAAGAGAAGAAAATAAAGATAGTATGCAGAGAGATTACAATAAAGAGATTTAAACAAGGAAGATTGAGACATGCACATTTTACATGAAAAATATTAAGAATAAAACTGATTTTTGTTACATAGAATTTTTTACGACTTTCACAAATAACTTTTTACATTTTTCAATTTGTTTTATTCACACATAATATCTTCTAGGAATAACAAGCAAATTTATCTTCCAGCAGAAAATGTGCGTGTACAATTTCTTCTATGTTCATGAGTAAACGGTGCTTTTTTAAAGAATAGTATGTTGCAACATCACTTGTCAAATTTCATGGACATTCTTTCTCAATCACACCATGATACAATGTGTGCATTTAATGTCTGATATACATTGAATTGTAGATATAAGCACACAAAGCTACATAATAGCTTGTTAAAGTAAGTGAAGTTCCTCTTTAGACCTAGTGATCCACTGGGCAGAAGAAGTGGAGCTTGTATGTTTCTTGACCTCGCATATGAAGGGAAAGTGTGGTCAGAACTATCCTCAGCCACCTGTAGTTTCCCCAACCTTAGTCAGGTACCAATCAGAGCTTGGTGGACTCAGAACATCCTACACTTACTGGTCCAAAGTGAGATTCAAACTCAAGACCTTCAAGCTAGCAGCCAAATGCTCTACCATTTGATTACACCATCTCACCTTGTGTTAAGTAAGTTTATCTAAAGTAATTATACAAGAAATCTAAAATATCCTTTTTTTTTAATTCTTCAAACCATATATGTCTGTAATAAAGATGCAAAGTAGATACATTTTAAAAGAATAAACTAAAAATGGGTTACGTTAATCTTATATTAATTATGCCATTATAAATTATAACAAAGTAAAATAACTGCAGCAGGTATTGCCATTGTCTCTAATAATACTTAGCTTATTGGGACTGGTTGTGTATGTGTGTGTCGGACATTGGGACTGGTTGTACGTGTGTGTGTGTCAGACATTGGGACTGGTTGTGTATGTGTGTATCAGACATTGGGACTGGTTGTATGTGTGCGTGTCAGACATTGGGACTGGTTGTATGTGTGTGTGTCGGACATTGGGACTGGTTGTGTATGTGTGTATCAGACATTGGGACTGGTTGTATGTGTGCGTGTCAGACATTGGGACTGGTTGTATCTGTGTGTGTGTGTAAGACATTGGGACTGGTTGTATGTGTGTGTGTCAGACATTGGGACTGGTTGTGTGTGTGTGTGTCAGACATTGGGACTGGTTTTGTGTGTGTGTGTGTCAGACATTGGGACTGGTTGTGTGTGTGTGTGTGTGTCAGACATTGGGACTGGTTGTGTGTGTGTTGGACATTGGGACTGGTTGTATCTGTGTGTTTGTGTGTCACACTTTTGCAAAAACCAATGATAAATTAAAAATAAAACTTGTAACATTGTTCACTACAACAAATTATGAGTTTACATACTTTTGTTTTTGTGCAAAAGCTTATGTTTTTTTTTTAATAAATACATATTAATTTATAAGCTTCAATATTTAAAAAGATAAACCAACCCATTATGTACTTTTGGACAGGTGGGTAGCAAAAAATAAATCACAGGTGATACAATTTATTATGCAAAAAGTAAAACTTGTAGCCATAGACAAATGAGGACATGCAAGTTTGTTGCTTCTGTCTCTCTTGTTTATTTCTTAAGCTACAAACACTGCAGACATTCACCTGCATTATAAATGCCAATATGAGACAAACTGTAGGGACTAGTGATGGGACACCAGGAAGGACAACTCTAAACCATGTTAGGAGCAGACTAAAATAAGACTATTTCCTCAAGTAAAAACGTTATGCAGAAGAAAAAGAACTTTGTCTTTAAATTAAACAGTAACTTTAAATCCAAAATAACCTTTAAAAAACAATTTCATCCATTTCTCATTGATTGCCTTATAAAATTGCTTTAATGATTTTTAAAAAAGTGAAAACCAAAATCTAGAGCATTGATTAATGTCATGTGTCAGCCGTGTGGGTACCAGACTTCAATGTTCAAGTAAAGAACTTTTTCTTGGGATGTTTCAGGAATACAGAATCAATGTACAATTTCCATACAAACATGACTAGTATTCATCTTTACAGCTACATAATGATTACAATCATTTCATTTTATAAATGTCCTGACAATTTCACATCATAAACTTTCCTTCACAAAACACTACCAATAAAAACCTACTTTTAGGCATGAGCTAATATCAGTATTACAAGGCACAGATAGAAAAATCCTATGAGCATATTACTACCTTACTGAGGTAACAACAGAAACTTGGTTTAAGCTACAATACAGACCTGAAGTGTTGAAGAAACAAAAAACTACCAGCAACTATTGAAGCACATGAAAGCAATATCGGGAACAATTAAGTCAACCATAATGTTTTAAAATGACAACAATGACACAAAAGAATGTTTTAAATATTTAAATGCAATGTTTTTACATCCAAAATTTTCTTTGTACAAAACAGGTATGTAAGCCTATTTCTACTAGTATTATTTTAAGATAAAAAATACCATTTCAGATCCTCCATAATTGTGACTTTCTACTAGTGTTATGGAAAGATAGTTGGCATAATACTGTTTTGTTCTAAAATTATTTTAAAACCATGGTGCTTGTTTGCTTTTAGAGAAGCAATGGGTAATTGAGTGTTCACATCAGATGCAAGAACAACAATCATTCATCTTCTACCATAATGCTGTGTACTTTGATGACAAAAGCAATTTTTGACACTCTATACATACATATTGACATAAACAAAAAGTTAACTAATTGTACAAAATAATAAATCTTATTTATACATTTAAAAAATTGGATGGGGGGAACATAAAAAGGGCAGTGGTTGTAAAATATCACACAGATCCATCAAGGGGATAACATCATGTAGAAGCATCTAAAGAATTGATGGTTATATATTGTTAAGAGCCCTGCTAAACTGAGTGGATGATAAGATACTTAAGTGTTACTATCTGAATAAAGTAAGAACAATGTCATTATTATCACAAAGTTGGTCAATTTACAATAGCCATTTAATGACTGAACTAAGCCCCAATCTTAACTAGCTATCATTAAGTTTTTGGAACTCTACAACCTTCAACTTCTATATTAAACATATTTTAAACCCTTATAATTAACAAAAAATGTATGTGTTGAATAACTGACTCCATTGTAATGTTTTAAAATATGACTTTTTGTCATCTCTATATAAAATAATATGAAACAAAGAAATTGTGTTATATAGGGTTAGCTACTGTAACACTTGTTTCTTTAAGAGACTCAAGTTTATAAATTATTCAGATTTTATGATCCAAATATACATCTTTTTTTATTTGTTTTAAATAAATATTTAAATATGTTTAAAAATAAGTTTACATTGTGGAATGTTTGCCATCAAGGTATTTTATTTTGAAGGTTTGAGGAGGAGGGGAGGGAAATCCATGAGTTTATGCTGTAATACCAAACCAAAGTTTACTGAGTATCATAACAAATGTTAATTTTTTTTAAAATACAGTAGGGAAAGTTTGGCGATGAATACATGGCACATGCTTAAAAAACAACAGCAAAACAACATTTAAGTATAATTTAGCTAAACATATAAAGGGCATTACACAATAATCTAATCTAATACATAAGTTGTGAAGCAAAATATCAATTAAATTTTATAAACATATAAGTTTTAACAATTGCACTTGATTATTAGAAAAAGCAATTCTAGTTAAAGAGGTGGGACGTGATTTTGTGATGTAATAAACAGTTTTAACACAGAGGTGTAAGTAAAACTCCTTCCACATTTTTTTTTATCATAGTGCAATGTGGATGGGACTATCTAAATCTTCACCAATAAATGCCATCTGAGCTCTTGTATTCTAGTATTATGTTCATTGACAACTGGTGGAGAAAACTAGTTCAATAAGCAAAACTGAAGTCGCAGAAAAAAATACATATAGTAATAAAATATAAATACTTCTCTTTTATTTGGCTAATATAAATTATAAAATAAAACTAGCCAAATATGCAACAGATTATTATGCAATGAGGCAATAGTTTGACATAACACATGTAGGTAAGGACAATCTCTAGGGTAATGAGTTGTGAACATACTTGGACTGGGGTGAAATATTTTCTTCCTTAACAGCAACTGAAGTCCCACAACTTGACAGTCTTATCATAGGATCCAGACACTATGATGAAATCATTAAACTGGAGACAAGTTACTCCATCTGTGTGGTTTCTCAGAGTCACTAGCCTTTCCCCAGTGGCCAAGTTCCATACCTGTAATAGTACAAGCCAAGTTGGACATTGTTGGGACATTATGGTCTTACGCTATTTAAAATTCAAGAGAGAGAAGTGGAGCAGTTGGAAAGGGAACTGAGAAAGTAGTTGGAAATAGTAGCTGAGGATGATCAGATGGAAATTCGCTAGAACAACAGCTGAATAGAGGCTGTTAGTTCTTTCTGAATCTGCAAACTTATTTCAGCCCTAGAAAACAAAGAGCAACCTACCTTGATTGTCTTATCATCAGCAGCACTTACAACTCTCCAGCTATCAGCCTGGAGACACCTGACCACATCTGTGTGGCCTTCTGCTTCTTTCCAGTCTATGGTATTCAGACACTTCCCAGTGTGGATGTCCCAAAATTTTAAATTATGATCTAATGAGCCACTAACTATACGGGTTGAGTCAAACATCAGACAGGTAACAGCATCTTGGTGTCCACGGAGTGTCATCATACATCTACCTTCATGGTTCCAAACCTGATCAATTATACATTGTTATAGCAGCTAGCAACCAATTCAAGGGAATTTCACATTTTTATTTTTGATAACACATAAAGACAAAAATTACTACTGAATCAATACTATATGACTTCATAAAAATCTATGCTTCAAAGAAGAGCTTCAATAGTTAAAACCTTACATTGATGGTTTTGTCTGCAGACCCAGAAACAATTTTTGTTTCACTGAAGTGGACACATAAGACAGATGCCTGGTGACCTCTAGAATAAAGAATTTGTTTGTTTTATATGACAAATCAAAACCACACATTATTTACTGATACACATTTAAATAAATAAACAGAGGAAACACTTTTTACCTTAATGTAGTCCTGAGGTTGCCAGATTTTAAATCCCATATCTTCAATGTCTTGTCATATGATCCACTGATAACTTTATCATCATCCGCCTGAATTTTAAATACATTTTACTTTTTTAGCAAATAGCAAAACAGAGAATTTATTTAGAGTGCAGCTAAAAATGGTAATAAAATGTACCTGAAGGCATCTCACAGTATCCAGATGACCTGTCATGGTGACTTTACAAGCAATAGATGACCAACTTTCTTGAGTAGATAAATCCCAAACCTGCAGCAGAGTGGTAAGAAAACATATGCACTACTAATGTTCAACATGCTATGGTAATGAGAGCTTTTCACTTTTTAAATTATTTTGGGTAGTTTAATAACAGTGGTGAACTTAATCAGATGTTACCTTTATAGTTTTATCACATGAGCCACTAACTAATCTGTTGCCCTCCAGGTGTAAGCACCTAACAGTCCCATGATGCCCCATTAATGTCTGTACTGACCAAGGGGCATTAGTCCTCATATTCCAAACCTGTTAAGTGTAAGTTTAACATGACAATGTACTCTTTACATGGTAAACATTGTTCAGTTTTTGGAATAATGTCTACTGGCACTAACTTGGAAATGATTATAACATTTTTAATCATACTATACATGATTAAAAATATAAATTATCTCTCTATAGTTATTTTTCAATGTTAAAGATAACATTTACAATTTATTCTACAAACTGTGGTGTAGAATAGCATTTCATGACTTTGTAAAGAATATTTTATAAGTCCTGCAATTAAAAAAATAACTACTCCACACAGTGCACAATATAATAACACTGCAAACTGATTGAATACAAATTTAAAATAAAATTCTTTTCATTCGTCATCATTATAAATTATTAAGTGTTTAAATAACATTTCACCACTTACTTTAATTGTTTTGTCAGAAGACCCGCTGACTATTCGAGAATCATCAAACTGAACACAAGATATCCCTAAGAAAAAAGTGGTGACCATATGTAAGTTACCCCAATTACAAAATATTTTGATAATAAACAAGAACTTTTTTCAAAATATTTTTATACCTTGCAGATGTCCTTCAAATGTTCTTACTGTACACCTGCCCTTTAACCAGTTGTTACGTAATCGAAATCTTTCAGCAAAAACATTTTTCCACTGGGAAAATATTAAATTGGTAAAGATATGTAAAGCAGAATATGATTATATAACTAAGCATAATGAAACCCCAGTTTATCCCAAGCAATTTCCCACTGACAGCCTACCTGAATGCTTCCTTCAGGAGACATGTGACTTATAACCTGCTTGTGTTCAGCAGCTTTAGATAATCTCCATTTGGTTTGGCAGCAAAATCTCCTCCACAAAGACTGGTCTTCAGCTATTTGTCGCCAGACTTTACATACTTGTGCTGACCTACAGAGACTGACTGAAAGTATACCCAAAAAAAGTAATAAAAAACACATAATTCAAAATGGGATAAGTAAATAAAGAGGTTTTGAAATAGAGATGATATGTAATAATAACAGACTAGTGATAAGAGTCAATGCTGTTATTAACCAGTAATTAAAACACTGCAAATGCTACTGAACTAGATTTAATACCAGGACGTACCAGGGTCAAGATAGGAAATAACTTTGGTAGCCAAACTTGAGGGAAGCCATGTGATTATATCTTCACAGTTAGAAGGACATCCATGATGTAGCTCTTTAGACATATGAACAGATAACAGGTGTAGCTGGGGCAGCTGACACATGTGCTGAAAGAAATTTAATACATGGGAAATAGGTATATGCTCATTGATTCTAATGTGTTATTTCTTTCAGTATTGTCTTAACTCATGTAGCCAATGACTCACAGAATGATCTATACGCAAGGTAGCTGACTAATCTATAGATAGAGTGACCTTTTTTGTACTTACCAGCAATCCTTTTAAAACAATATTTTTCTGTCCATCATTACATTCAAAAAACCATTTCTTAATCAACTGTGGATAAAAAGATTATGATAAAACTAACAACAATATTTAGATAGACATTTTTTTTCAAATACTTTTCATAATAAGTTATTTAAATAAAATTTAAGGATTTATTACACGTTCAACAATGGTGAAATTTTTTTTTTTAATGTAAAAAAAAAACCATTACCTGAAACCTTTCCTTGAATTCAATCGGTTTCATACCATTCTGAGACCAGCTTTTTTTCTCTGAAACTCTAGATTGTGCTATTGTGCTGTGATTATTTTTATGCATATAGGACTGAGAAGAAACTTTGTCTTGGTAATTAAATTTACCAGGAGCTTTGCTGATAGAATTTCTGTTTGTGCTTTCTTCTGAGTTGGCAGTTGGGCTATCCTCTTCATCGCTATCACTGGAGTAGTGACTTCGCCTGTACTTGTAGTGACTTTCTGCTGAAGGTTTGTAAAAATGTCCCCATGAGTTTATATTTTGGCTTTTAGGGGGTCCTTGTGAATCTTCAGTATATTGTTTTGAAGTGACAGAACAGTTCTCCCCATTGATCTCATTTTGATTGTTGCACCACTTCAACCCATTTAGTTTTTTGCTAGATGTGTTGATAATACTGTCCTTTTTTGGCAAACTGTTTGCATTTGTATAGTGTTGTTGTTGATGGTGTTGCATCTGATGACTGTAGTGATAATGTCGTTGATCTTCAGGTATTTCACCTCTTTCATTGTGGATATTAGCATTTAACTTCTGGGGATTACGGAGTTGTGCTGAACTAACATTTGCTAAGGATATATCAGTTTGTTCATTTTGTTTGTGGTTAGGAAAAGTTATCTTCTCATCTGAAATATTATTGCAATCTGTGGTTTTAGGATGGTTGTTGTCAAGTATGACAGAGTTAACCCGTTTCTGAATATCATCATTTCCATTGTCATTATCATCATCCTCATCGCTTTCCCAAAAGCAATTAGATGTTAAAGGATATGAGTTGGCTTTTTGTGGCAATTCCCTGTTGACAAGTTCTGATAAGCAATAATCTGGATAGGATTCATTGTTTCCGCTATACAGTCTACTTTCACCTGCAGCATATGAGTGGGAGCCTTTAACAACAGGGTGCTCTTCAGATGAAGACATTTCAGAACTTGTCAGATACGGATTGGATGACAACTGACGAACCACAACTCTTTTTTTTAACTGCTGTGAAGTTTTACTCCCATCCACAATAGATGTGGATGTAGGAACAAAATCCTTGAGAGATTGTGACTGTGATGGGATATCACTTCCAGGTGAGGTAGAAAGACTCATGTCAGATGCTGCTTCACTAAGATCACTTACAGATGTACTAGAATTTAACAACTCAGGTGGTTTGCCATGTTGAGATATGCAGCCCACAAAATGTGGGTCTACATTTGATTCACACATCTATCCACTACTTCACCAAGAGCATCTACTTAGTGATTCATTTCCAGCAAAACACGCCAGATGAAGAAACATGTCATTGTGAATTCTTACTGAAATAAATTAAAGAATACTTCTTTAAACTCCACATAATCAAAGTATGTTTAATAATATTTTACAATGTCAATAAAATCCTTTTTTAAAAAGCACTCTAGATCTAGATTTACTAGATCTAGATACCTTGAGTAGATCAGCTAGATCTAGATCTAGATTCTAGAAAAGAATCCTAGATCTAGATCTAGACCTAGAAGAAGTGGCTAGTGGCTTGTAAAGAAGATACAGATTAACTGATTCTAGAACTAGAATCTAGATCTAGATCTCTGATCTAGCGACTAGATCTAAAATCTAGATTCTACTTCTAGATCTAGCTAGCAGCTAGAATCTAGATCTAGCTGACTGTTAGATCTAGTACTGTACTGTACTGTAGTCTGTAAGTAGATAATTGATTAATTTAGATTTAGAGTCTAGATCTACTAGTTCACTAGTACTCACTGATATAGTTGGTTAATTGAAGTCAGGTGGGCTTAAATTAAAATCGGCTTAAATGCACTTTAACTTTCATGTTACGGTATTCCTTCTCAGTTAACAGTTAAGGAAATTTTCACATCAGAAATCCTAGGAAGACCCTACTAACATCCAAACAAACGACGTCATTTCCGCAAAATATCGGCGCTTATATTAATTTTTACCCAAATAATTAACTTCCATAATTATTTTCCTTGTACAGCGGTAACTCGACAAACGAGTTCCATAACATTGCTTATAATAAATTGTTCGTAACTCCATTGAACTAAATTGAAATGCCATTAATCCTTTACAGTCCCCAAAGTGCCACCCCAGTTGTTTTTGTTACGTGTTTTAATTAATAAGAAAAGTGTATTTAAATTTATACAATTTACATTAGTAATTACATACATACGAGCCGACCCGAACCGTATCATATGCCCAGAGTTTCTTCCATGCATCTCTTCGGGGGGGGGGGGGCGAAGCCCTCCCAAAAAAAATCTACCGCCACCCCTCCCCAAACGAAATGAAATTTATATAATTTATATAGAAAATATATACTTCTAACAGTGTCCGCCCCCCCCCCCCCCCCAAAGAAAGTCTACCGCCCCCCCCCCCGAAAATTTTTTACCGCCCCCCTTCCCCCCGAACGGAATGAAATTTATATAATTTATATAGAAAATATATAATTTTAAGTGTCCGCCCCCCCCCCCCGAAGAAAGTTTACCGCCCCCCCCCCCCGAAAATTTCAAGTGCCCCCCCCGGAGAAAAAAGTCTGGAAGAAACACTGCCCCCCCCCCCCCCCCGGAGAAAAAAGTCTGGAAGAAACACTGCATATGCCGCTATTTAGTTGTTTTATTTTCTACTTTTCGGTAATTCATAATTTGTGAATTCGACAGTACCAATGCTGCCACTGAATATATTTGCTTTAAAACACTATCAGTAGGTCGTTAAGGACGATACTATCCCCACCCTCCTTTCCCCCAGCCCCAACCGCAACCCCTACCCTACACCCCCCCCCCCCTCGTGAAAGCAGCCTCCTCTTAGTTACCTCCCCTAAGTTTAAAATCGTTTCAAACTAAATTATCTGCCCCTAATAGCCGTCACTAAACCCGGCTCTACTATTGTAAACATTTAGCGTGAACCACAGCTCACTAGACCATGTAGGGGTGGGGGTGGTAGGGATATGCCTAGAAAAAAAGAGAGGGGGCTGCTAGGCGCTTTTACAGCTTGGTGTTTTCTATGGTCTCCAAGAAGAGAATTATATATATATATAGAAGAATAAGATAGTTTAATAAAATGCTAAAGAATATGCATGGAAATAAAGTGGGTTTTTTTATTTTTTATTTTTAGTGTATTTTCTTTGAAAATGGTTGAGTTGTCATGTCCAGTGTTGGGTGGAGACTGGAGGAGATAGGCGGAGGAGCTTCACTGATATTCGTTCATTAATTACTTACTGTTAATGCTAATGCTCTTTCGGTCACTTCAATTCACTTAATGGCCTACTCGTTAACTCTTAACGCTATGCTTTATCACTAAAGCTAAACGGAACTTAAAACTCCACCGAACATAACTGAACCTAAATGTTACTATAAGTCTATATGATTGTTTTGTTGCTTTCGCTTAATTTTCGTCACTGCTTCTCTCTTCGCCCGCCTTTGCTTTTTTTTTTCTTTTTCGCCACGCTTTCCTCACTTTCCCAACTGTCCGTTAAAGTAAATTGTCCAAGGAGTTTTTTTCCCCTCCCTTTCATAATGTTTTTGGAAATTAGGTAGTGTCATTAAATAGCTCAATCTGTTTGCTTCTTTCTGGGGTGTTTCTTATCCACGAACTGTTAAATCCGCTAATATCCTCTTACTCGTCGTATCTCAATTTTTTTATCGTATGTCAAAGCATATTTTAGCCCGCTCGACAGCTCGTATTTCAAAAATCTTATGTGTGTCGGGACACTCGTATGTCGAAGTACCAGTACCACCGTATTTTTTTCCCACTAGATCAGGTCGAAACAGCAAACATATGCAGATTTTAAGGCAAGAACCGGCAAAGCAAGAGCAGCCTTCGCACAGCTAAGAAATATCTGGGTTTTTAGTGAGTCTTTCTTGGCCATAAAGGTGCGCCTTTTAAACTCCAATGTAAAATTAGTGCTGCTGAGTGGGGCAGAGACTTGGTGGAAGACAAAGACCACAATTGATAAAATCTAGACCTTTATAAAGAGCGGTCTTAGACAAATACTCAGGATCCGCTTGCCCGACACTATCAGCAAAGGACAACTTTCCGCTAATGATGAAGTTAGGAATAGCATGGGGGTGGATTGGGCACACACTGTGCAGACAGCCACCAGGCATGAGACATTGATGTTGAATCCACAAGGAAAGCGCAACACAGGTCGACAAAGAAACACATGGCGCATAGATGGGCTACACCTGAACTCAGGTTGAGAAAATCCCAGAGGACTCTGATAATCTTTTTGTGGCTGTCCATACCCCAACAGGAGTGACGGGCAGTGATGATAATGATGATTGTAATGTTTAAGACTTTAAATCTAATTAGTTTGACAAAGCAGCAAACTCATATTAGATATTTTAAAACAATTATTTACGGGTGTATCCGTCGCACGTTCCTGCAATCACATTAAAAAAAAAACCTCAAGGACAGTCGTTAGCATAATTGGTATCAGTGCTATATTTTCATGTAGAAGCGTGTAGTCTACGTTAATCACCCTCTGAAAGGGTATGGTAGAACAGCCCTCGTCGATCGCTCAGCTGTTAGGAGTGTGGGAAGTTCGTGAGAGCCACCGTTAAAGCAACCGCCCCATTTCGGTTTCGCCATCGATATCCCTCAAGTATGGCGCTCTTTTAAACAAATGTAGGCGCCATAGTGATCTTGGGTAGCCCGTGGCGCTCCAGGTCACACAAACGCCTCAGATGCACTTTGATTGTGATATAAGTAGTAGGTTACAAGTGGCGTCACTAGATCGGATGTTATCCGGTGCAGTAACTGAGGGTGTCACCACCACCTCCGGTAATTTAGCATTTTTGGTTTGGTATCACCTACTCCTACTACCACTTTATTATTTCACATAGAAAGAAAATTGTTTTAACAGTAAGTATTAAAAATTTTCGTTACCGAGTAGTATCCTTACTATCCGAATACAAAAGCCTTATTTTTTGTCTCCGTTTCTTTTCTTTCTCGCTTCTAAGTCTGAATTATAAAAACACGCTGATGCGAGCAAATTAATTTTGTAGTTCTATCTTAGGAATTGGGATTAGATCTATATGCTGGTGACATACTCATCACTTACTTACAACATAACAGAGGGGTAGCGAGGGGGCGGGGGTGCCGATTGCACCGGGTGACACCATTTAGAGGGGTGACACCAAGGCACCAAATAGCAAAATATATAGCTAAAAATGAAAGTTTGAAGGGGGGGGTGCAAATCGAAAGTTTGAGGGGTGGGGTGCAAATCGAAAATTGAAAGTTTGTCCCCGGGAAGGGTCGCTACGCCTCTGAGGGGTGACACCATTAAGTGCCGGACCGGGTGACACCCGATCTCGCTACGCCCCTGCAACATAAATATAGGTCGATCACAAACACAAGATAATCACCTTCACTTTTAGTTCTGATAAAGGAGTATAATGGAAATATTGTAAGCGTGCATAAAATCGAAATCAAGAATTTGCCAAGTCTTGACATTTTAAAATCTCAATCTTGTGCGCGTGTGCCTGCGTGTCTGTGTGTTTGTGTGCAGAGTTTCTTCCAGGCATCTCTTCGAAAAAATTCTACCGCCCCCCCCCCCTGAACGAAATGAAATTTATATAGAAAATATATACTTTTAACAGTGTCCGCCCCCCCCCCCCCCCGAAAATTTCAAGTGCCCCCCTCCGGAGAAAAAAGTCTGGAATAAACACTGTTTGTGTGAAGTACGATAACATGATTCCCGTCCGTCTCAGTTAGGTTGATACAATTTAATCCATATGTATGATAACTTGTCTACTATTTTAGTTGAGTAGATAACATTTCGTTTATGAGTGTAATACTTAGATTAGGCCTAATACTTTTAATTTTTAAGTAATCCAGGTAATCCACGATATCAGAAAGTGGTACCTCACTCTATTTCACATTTCAAAATACCGATAACTTGACCTTTTCAGTTAGGTTAGGTGGACACAATTTCATTAGATCTAGATTACAGATAGATCTAGATCTATATATTTTTAGACTGATGATACTAAGACAGTTCACTATCTATGTATTCCGCCTACTTTCCCTATCAAAACTGAGTGGACTCAATCAGGGACGTTCTACTGACTTTAACCCGTATTCGGACTCGAGACTTTCGAGTTAGCAGTCTTAACCTAGAAATACTAGATTTCTAGATCTAGATCTAGAATAGTCTCTAGATCTAGATCTATGTTAAATTTTCAACACTGAGCGCCCAGACCCTGATCTACTAAATTTTCAGTTTTTTTATAGCAGTAAAAAACCTTAACTTACATAGCATAACACGGTAAGCAATTGTTCCTGTCTGGAGGGTAATAATTTTGGTTTGGAAAGCTTGCAATACTTGCATTACTCTGCTAGATTTTTTTCCAGTAGGCTAACTACTAACTAGATCTAAATCTAGACTAGATCTAGAAATATAGATCTAGATTACATATCTTCCGTAGTGTGTAGTGAAATGACATTTAGTTAAGTTAGTACTTAGATTAGATCTAGTATTTGATTATAAATTATAGTTAGACCATCACACATTCAATACTCAGATTAATTATTATAATTAAGTTACTAATTACTAGTAGGCCTAATTAGGCCTAATTAATAATTATTAATAATTACTATTAGGCCTAACTAGATAATGATATAACAACCTATTGTATTAAAGGGTCATTTAAATGACATCACGCTTTTTTTGACGATTTTTACCTCCCCCCTCCCCTCTGTCACACATCATCACAAAAAGCCAAACCCCCCCCCCCCCTAAAATGACGTCATACCTCAGCTACAACCCTCCTCAAAATTGCAGTTGAATTTTTCTTAAAACATCAATATTTTTCTAAAATCTTGTCTGAACTCTGTCAACATAGAGTATTTTTAATCAATTCCTATTACAATTTATTAAAACCGTTTTCTAAGACGCAAAATAACGACTAAAGCTTGTTTTCTAACATTGCTTTGTTATAATGCAAAAGTGTGACGTCACACTATCTACCCCCCCTCCACCTCATTACACAACGTCACAAAATTACGGACCCCCCTCCCTCCTACAAGTGTGACGTCATTTATGGACGACCCCTAAGGCCTATTACTTTAAAATTTTATTTTCACCTTTCAGGTATCAATTAGCCAATAGATCTACATTTTTTCAGAAGTCAAAGTTTTAAAAATGCAAAAATTTAACTATTTGGCTGGATTTATTTTTCTAAATTTAATTATTATTGCAAAGGCTACTTCAAATAAAAAAAGTAAGAACAAGATTAATGACAAACTGGAGAAACCTATCGTTAATGAAAATCAGGTAGGCCTTCCAACAGAAGTCGTCATAATTGGATCTGGAATAGCAGGATTAGCAGCTGCACGCAAGCTGTCTTCTGATAGAAGTAACTTTACTGTAAAAGTCTATGAAGCAAGGAAAGATAGGTTTGGCGGTCGTGTATGGACTGACAGACTTAAAAATACTAATGCTAAAGGTATGGGTTTTATTAACTATTAGAGCTTTAATTGAATTTTAAATTTTAGCTATTTTAATTTTGGCATTCACTCTACTTTATAAAGGTTATCTATGTAGGTCATGTTATATGCAATTCTTTTCTATAACTATAACTATTAAAATTTTGCTTTGCAGGTGTTGAAATAGATCTTGGAGGGTCTGCATTCAATGTTATTGCTAAAAACAATCCTCTCATGGAGCTGGCTGATAATTTTGAGTTAAAATCCACACCTATAGATAACATGCAGTTCATTGTGCCATGGGAAGACAAACGTTATAGTGGAGATGAGCTTACTAAAATAACACGGCAAGCTGCACAGGTAATACTTAGTGTTTAGTTAAGTGTCTGCGAATAAAAACATATTATGAAGGTCTTAGATTGAAGTTGTCTTTAAACATTTACAAACGTTTAATCTTAATGTTAGTCAGGTTTCAAATTGTAGTCTACAACTACAAAGTATTTAGGCTGCAATACAAATTTCCATTAATTAATACTGTTAATAGTGTTAAGACTGTTTAAATAACTTTAAATTAGATTTATTTCCCTTTGCTCAGTCATTCAATGTATGGCTGAAAAGAAATGGACAATATTCTATTTCTATTTTTTTTTTAAAAATCAACTTAAAATCCATTTAAACTATACTTTAAATACTTTTATTTTTTTATGATTTCAGATTTTGAGCCAAGCTTTGAATGAATCTAAGTTATCAAAACTTGAGATATCAGTAAAAGATGCAGTTGACAGGGTTTTAAATAAAGGAGATATAGCTAAGGCTGACAGGTAAGATTAGCTAATTTATCTTTATGTTTGTTTTAAAACAATATAAAAAAAAATAACACAGAGAATTCTTACTTACAATCACTATTGAATAAGCAGGCTGCTAACTTGTTGATCTATTTTTGCAAATAAGATTATGTACTCATCTGAATCATTTCCAGTTTCTATTAGTAACTTTCAATTAACTCTACTAAGATACAATGTACTATAGAGTCCTTGCAAACACGTGACCTAAATCACGTGATACCTACGCCCGCCGCCACAGTGGTGTACATCAGACGTAAACACAATCAGCTGTTCGCCAGCGCTGGACGTGTTCACCGTATGTAAAGAATCGCGCCCGCGGAAAAGGAAAAATATGTTAAAAAACTTGAACTCTTAGGAATTGAAGATCCTTATACAGTTATTGACAGTTTCGTGGATAATATAAATATGTGGCCGAAATTTCTAAATAAAAATACTGTTAGTAATACCGTTTGCGTTTAGAGTTTAAGTAGACGAAGCTGATCAAATGCAGTAATATATTAGAGGTTATCTACTGTAGCAAACGTGAGACCACTTAACTCCTACAAAACCCACACTACAACGGCTAATATAATCCATGGGTAATAACCAATCTGGGTAGCATGTTATACAATTTAAGACCCTTATAATCCAGCAGGGAAGTGATCAGACACATTAATACTGACGTTCAACCCTCATAATGGCTGCCCCCACCTGTATCTAGCCCACAATAAAACCAAAGAGGAGTCTGCCCTGCCCTCCCCTGAAAATGTCTCACCTCCGTGATACCCAGCACCACAGAGATAGTATTTCTTATATAATTTTGACCCTCAGGGCCCAGCAGGGAGAACAAAGGGGAAAGTCCCACTGCTCTCCCCTCAACACTTCTCACCTCGGTGTCATGTTATGTCATTTATAGCACACACGGCTTATCAGGGGAAAGCATTAAGGCATTAAGAATCTTAACTCTGGACAGCTACACACTAGTATACTAGCTACACACTAGGTGCCTACTGTAAACTACTAGACTGTAGGCCCTATGTAGACCTGCAATTGTATCAATTGTAGACTGGGTCCATTGTTATTATTCTAAACCATCTCACTTATAATGTTTCTAGCTTGATTTTTTTCTTTTATAAACAGTGGATTTAAAAAAAAATTAGCCTAATCATTAACCAAATAATAATAATGTGGTTATTTGTTGTTGGCTGGTATGATCTAGATTGTACTACTAGGCTACAAAAGCTTAGTAGACCAATTACTAGATATGAATTTGAATTTAATTAAACTCAGTCCAGTATCAGACACATATTGCTGTAAAAAGACAACAAAGTAGGTAGGCCTTAGTAATTTATTAAAGCCTTCTACTACAATAATATCAACTACATGCTTGTATAAAGTTTTACAATTTAATTTAAGTAGCAGATTCTAGATCTAAGTCTAGTCATATAATCTATTTCAATTTCAGAAAATTTCGTTTGCTAAAAAAATGATTAGATAATAGAGCGAGATTTTAGATCTTAGAGACAATTAAATGCTTTATTAGGCCTATTATGACTACTTTTGATTTATTATGGGTGTATTTTGAATCGAATGTATATCTAAAGTAATTAAATTTAAGTAAAGAAGTAGATTCTAGATTCTGTCTACCCAGCGGAGCCAGGTATTAGGCCTACTATTAGATCTTATTATTCTTATTAGCCTGTTACTTTTGACTTTGTCTTTTACTATTAGTATTTGTGAAGGTCAAGCATATTTGTTTTATTAATAGCTATCTTTTATAATTAAAATGAAGTTTATTATTTTACTGTCCTTACATGAAACAAAGTATCGAGAACTGCATTTGATCAGATTCGGCAACTTTAACTCTAAACGCAAACAGTATTACTAACAGTATTTTTATTTAGAAATTTTGTCCACATATTTATTTATACGAAACTGTCAATAACAGTATAAGGATCTTCAATTCCTAAGAGTTCAAGTTTTTTAACGTATTTTTCCTTTTCCGCGGGTGCGGTTCTTTACATACAGTGAACGCGTCCAGCGCTGGTGAACACGTCCAGCGCTGGCGAACAGCTGATTGTGTTTACGTCTTGTGTACACCACTGTGGCGGCGGGCGTAGGTATCACGAACGGACGTGACGTCATATGAAAGGACTCTATTTGTTCTTAAAAAGTTAACATTGTTACTGGCATTTAAAAAGTTTAGTTACAAACAATTTTTCTGATTTGTTATGAATATCTTTTGATACCAACTTTTTAAAGTAGTAACATTTTTTTTTACTGAACCAAGTGACATCTGAAATTTTTTTGTCTATTTTAATTGCTTTTCAAGGGGATTTTAGGCACTAGGTTGTCTGGATGTCTGGAAATCTTCTTTCACTTAAGAGACATCTTCAGGTTGTCAAAATATTCTATCCAGCTGAATTCTATTAACAGTGAACTATTGTTTATTTACTATTTAAATAAAAAATCACACTTGTTTATAATCTTTGTCTACAGCGTGGAAGCGCACCTTGCAAAGTGCTTACCGTCTTACATACTTGGTGATTATTCTATGCGGCATTACAATCCTGAACTTCTTGATGTTGGTTTTGAAAAAGTTTTGCTAGATGGCATGGGGGAATTGTTGGATAGGTATTTATCAATGTATTTACCATTACTGAAAGCTAAACAGAATCAATTTAAGTCTACTGATTTAAGTTTTAAGTCTTTCTACACTACAATATAATAATGAAAAGAAGATTAAAAGATAAAGTTTGGAAGGAGAAAGTTCCAAGCCAATATAGGCTGATCGAACAGAATTATTGTATTCCTTCAATACTTTAGCCTTGCAAAATATTTTAAAGTCTTTAGGTTACTTATATATTGTCTGATTTTAATATTTGAAGTAGGAGATTTGGTAGCATTAAATTTTGTTTTTCTAAGGCTCTTACTAATTCTTGATTGTAATTTTTAGGTTGCTCAGTGGATCTTTGGAAGAGCCTCCTCTTCATCTCTACCTGAACAAGGTGGCTAGACAAATCAAAATCAACAAAGAAGACAAAAAGGTCTTAATTAGATTCCGTGATGGCACTCAAATCTCAGCTGATGTTGTCATAGTTGCTGTGCCGTCCACTGTTATTGGTTCTGGAGATTTGTTGTTTGAACCAAAACTCCCTAAAAAATACCAGCTGGCGGCCAAAGAAATCAGTTAGATATTCTTTATTTTTTATTTTAATGTTTTGAAATTGATTTTTACCATATTTCATTAATACTGGACTTACAAAGCTATTTGAAGCATTATTCTAATTTCCAGAACATACTAGTAATGTTTGCTTTGAAGAGTCATCAGCTTAATTTTACAATAAAATAGTAGCATATATAAAAGAACATTTTTTTTCTCTGTTAAATAGTGTATTTAAAATTATGAGAGTGCATTTACTTTTCAAGAAAAAACAAACAAAATAAATTTAAATTATATTTTACAGGCATGTCTGCTGGAAATAAAGTGATAGTTCAGTTTGAACGAGCCTTTTGGCCAGCCGAACATGGTGTTTTTGTTCGTGCAGTTAGTAAGGATGCTGAAAGGGGAAACCTGCAGACATGGGTGAATGTCCATAAAATTATTGGCAAACCATACCTTTCCAGTTTTCTAACTGGAACAGCTGCACAGGAGTTTGAAAAACTGACAGATAAAGAGGCAAAAAAATTAGGTAATGTCTTACTGTTATGAATTTTACATTTTTTTTACACAGACATTACTAATGTAAAATTTAGTATTAAAAAATTGTTGTATTTTCAGTTTTGGCTGTGTTAACTGAGATGTTTGGTGAAGATAAAGTTCAACAGGGAGGGAAGATTGTTGGGCTTCAGCGATCTCATTGGGTTGCAGATGAGTGGTCAAAGGGGGCTAGCACATACCCTAAAGTTGGTCAGTGTCATTAGATTAAGTAGTTAGATTATTGTTGTTCCTTAGCAAATGTGAATAAATGTGTAACTATAGGTTTTGAGTGTTAAACAAATGAATAGGTTTATAATGAGAAATTAGTAACAAGGGATAGAGTTTTTTATTTTATACTTGAAGTTAATGTGGGTACACAAAGCTATAAGTAGGGAGAGTTTGGCAGGTGTAAGTCATTTACTTAATCATTCATTGTGGCATTTTTAAAAATCCATACATATATAACCGTATCTTTATTGTTAAGATAAACATTGAGCATTCATGAATATCATCAAGCAAATGGTTCAAATACTGGCTGTGCTGTCCTGATTACGCCCTTCTCTAAATAGTAGTTTTTATCATATTCATGCGTTTAGTTGTCATAAATAGATTTTACTGTTTTACGGACTTTCAAATTTCCAGAATACCACTTGAGTAATTTCTAAGACTATTGTTTTATATATAGTAAATTATGAGATAATAAATACACCTACTAAATTATTACTGTTTATTATATAGGCAGTGATCCAAGTCTTTGGGATGTGTTTGCACAGCCTTTGTGTCCTTACATCTATTTTGTTGGTGAGCACACATCATTTTCTGAGCATGGAACTCTGCACGGTGCCTATAACTCAGGTATTCGAGCAGGAAATCAAATTCTTACTAGAACATGTGATGCTATTATGGAGGAGAAACGTCGAAAAGCAGAAGAAAGGCGCAAAAAGAAGGAGGCAAAGAAAAATAAAACAGAAAATAAGAAGGAAGTTGTCAGTGATAAGGATGAAAGTGATGAGGATGAAAATGGTGAAGAAGAGAATGTGGAGAGAAAAGAACAATTAAAAAAAGAAATCAATGATGAACTGTAAAAAGTATAAATTGTGAAAAGTAGGAATTATTGTGCCTACTATACTACTAACTATTCTTACTTCAACTTCCTTTGAAATTTAAATCAACTCTAATTTACCGATGGACAAAGTAAAAGTGAGGAATAATTAAAGTTGAATTAAAATGGGAAAGTTTGTATTTATGTAATGCTGTATACATTCCACTTTGTTATATTTTACAACATTGTTAAATATTGTTGATGATTTCATTCTGTACATAACATTTTACATTTTCTATCAATATGAGGGATAAATATTATTACTTCAGGGAATCTCGCTCATTGAATAATCTCTACATAATTTTTTTTTAAAAGTACTTGTTCTTTGCCAATTAGCCTACAAATAAATATTAAATTTTGAAACTGATTTGTTGGAAAAACTGTTAAATTACATTACATTTTCATTTGCTTAAATACATTAAAAAGATATGTACTATGCATGTGCAGTTCAGTCCACCATACAAATGTAACTATATGAAAATTATGAAGTTTAAAAACTCTGTCAAATATAAATATTTGTTACTATTTTGACATAAAAATACTTCAACCATTTTCCGTCTTTGTTAAAGCATTGTTTAAGGTTGTACAAAACAATTTTTTCTTTATCATATTCTTTCAGTTTTCTCATATGGCTTTACTACATTCCTATTTTCTGCAAAAAAAGAAATCTTTCATGAAAAGTAAATTTAGTTGAAAAAAGATTAGTGTGCTAATATTAGTAATGCATTAGCTTGCATTTATTGAATTTCCTACATTACTTAAAATTATTTTCTCTTATATTTGTTTGGATTTTAAAATTTGATGAACATCATTCTCTGCTTAAATAGCCGATTTGGATGGAGTGGTGGAATGGGATAGCACTTTATTTCTAATCCAAAAGTCTACAGTTCAGATCATAAGCTCGAGATCATGAGTACACTCGGCTCTGATACCTGGCTCCAGTTTGGTCATGTAAAGATGGCTGGGCGAAGTGTTAACCACACTACAAACTCTTATTTCATTTGCTCCATGGATTGTCCGGTTTGGAAAGGGAACTTTACTTGCATTACTATGTAGCAAATTGTAGAGTGGCAAAACCACATTGTGATGAAAGCTTCTGTGACAGGTTTTAGCTAACATTGCTTTTGGAGAAATGGATTTCAGCCCTATAAATCTAGAATATCTATATTCTGAGTTTATTTATTGTATTTTCAACAAAGTGCATCTTGATCTAACCTGTTCGAAAATCATTTTATCATTTCTCACATCACAGATGACAATATGGTCACTCCACCATATTTTCCATATTGTTGTTTAAGGTAAGAAATTATGTAATGTGCAGATTTATTTACATTGTAATATGTGTCTCTTTAATTATGGCTTCAATTAATAATTATTAAGCAAACTATCTGCAACAGTTGAGTTTCCATACCTCTCTAGAATATAGATCTACTTAATATATACACATACTATACTATATAGTATATACAGTGTACTTAGCAGAGAGAATCTTGTGACCAAAAAAAATTTCTTTAAAAAAAAATTAAATCTGAAATATATATTAAACATTTCATAGTTGTGGCCTTTAATTTTTATATAGATTCTAGTAGTATAGGCTAACTACTACTAGATCCAATAAGGCTGAGTACTGAGTAATGAAATAGTCACATAGTTATGTATGTTGTTATAGTGAGTCACTGTGAGTAAGGAGCCTTAGGAGCGCGTTATTATACTTTATAAATTATAAAGTAAGATCTGACTATAGGCTATATCCCATAGCTAGATACCAGATCTGTGCATAATTATCAACAACTTGAATAAAAATAAAACACTTGGGCTACGCTTCCATCACAGGTAGGGCAAGTTTTATTCTTTTAAAAACACCAACATTAACAAAACCGAAGAAAAAACCCCATAGGAAGGTTGGCATCAATAAACAAAAGTCACATGACCGGAAATCTTCAACAACTATGGAAGTTGAGGATAGACGAGAAATGGATAGGAAGTGATAGCTTCTGTGTAGTTCCGAGTATTTACTTTGGATTTACTAATTATTTCAACTACAATATCTTTACCAACAAAATGTATTACAAATGAAAAGGTAAACTTTGCATTAGTATTAAAATGCAAATACCAAATTCCCCCAAAACAACCCAACATCTTAAAAAAAGTCCAGCAGCCTAGCTACTCCAGCAAGCACTTCACTTTTTTAAAAACTTAAAAAAACTCACGGAGTTCGTCCACAGTACCAAACTCACTGTCTTAATCCTAGAATTTAGATATAGATCTAGATCTAAATTCTTGTCTAGATCTAGGAAATCTAGCGATATAGGCCTACAACTAGTTAATGAGTTTTCAGTTATAATAGAGCCTAAATCATAGATTTGTTGATGTTAGTGTTAGACGTCTAGAAAGTAGAATCTAAACTAGATACATCTAGAATCTAGTCTAGAAGAAATCTAGATCTAGATTCTAGATGTACTCAGTTAGTTAATAAGCTAGTACTAGATCTAGTAGTACTAGAGTTAGTAAGTAGAGTAAAGATCTAGATTTAGATCTAAATTCTAGGTTTAGTGAATGATGAGTGTTCCATAATGAAAAGGATTAGCCTAATAATCCTAATGACTCAAAAATACTTTTTATTTAAAAAAAAAGGGCGTTAGTTTGCATTAGATCTATGACTTAACTTAAATATTAGGTAATACACCCTAATTACTAATTAATTACTAACCACCATGAAACTAGTTTGAGATTTAATAAACAACCTAACAGTGCACACATATTTTCGTTACAGTCTGTTAATTATAACTATATGGCTTAATTCAAGCTAAAAGAATTTTTAATTAGTCTACTTTAGTCTACTAACATAATGATTGGAAAATTCATCATAGGCTTCTTATAGGCCTAGTCATAAAAGTATATTTCTATGTGAACCTTCTAGGCTCATAGTTGAGGCTGGCTGTTCAGTTTTTAATGCTACTTTTACAGAAAGCCTGTGTTTCATAATATAAATAAAAAAGCTGAAAATTAAGAATAACATCTTTTTCTAAATAGCCTCACATTAAAATAAAAAATTAGCAGTGTTTTAATTCAACCCTGTATGTATCTCACATACTGGCCGTAAAAAATAAATAAAATTGAAACCTTAAATCGGGTACAAACATTATTAGTTTCAGAGGAAATTTCTGTTTAGTGGCTAGGAGATATAGAATTCTTCTAAGGCAGTTATCCAGGTTTTCAGTGCATTCTGATGGCACTCAGAAAGATTTGACTTCATATAATGGTGATGATTCCAGATCTGATGATATCTTGGACTATCTTTATAGTCAAATCATCTGAGTTATTGCCACTGCATTTTGTATTTGTCAAGTTGGCTCCCCTCATTTCACTGATTGGTTTGAGCAAAATGATAACATCTGTAATCTTTTTCTTTCAGAATCTAAACTTAAGCTTTTGACATAGATAAATATGATATTTAGAGAGAAAAGAAATCCAAGAAGATATTGGTAGCCAACCTACCCTGATGCTGAAACCTTTGACAAAGCTTCTACCAGACACTACCCTTGATCTGACCATCCTCAGATCAACATTTATTTTAGCAGTCAGAAAAGGACATATACTCAACACAAACACAAAACATATTCCACTACATACAAAAACTTGACACGGCACAATACCACACAACCTTGATTATTTGGAGGTGGTAGTGTTCTGTCTCCATCCATAATACAGATACTTCGGTTAATCTTTAGGTAAATTGTGCTGCATTAAAATCAATCATCCTGAAAGCACATTTTTCAATACAATGGCTCCCCTCTACCCACTCTTTGTGCTCCTTTCTTTCCACAGCCATCTCAATACATACACACACACTCCCATCTATAAACACCTTGCATCACTTACAAAGCAACCTTTATACACAAAATGATACAGTACAAAACAGTTACACTCCCATCTATAAAAACCTTGCCTCACTTACAAAGCAACCTATATACACAAAATGATACAGTACAAAACAATTAAAATGCAATACAATCTAATATAGTACCATATAACACAATTTACTACTTTGTCACACTGGGTAATTGATTTGAAATGTATTGTAATACACATTTCTTATTAGCACCTATTCAGTTGCATCATGAACTCTCTATTAATCTACAAGGCATACAACTTTAAAGTGACTATCAAACTTCCTCTGGTGATGTCTATTAGAGTGCCAAACAGGAGCTCACCATTTGGTTTAGACATTAAGATTTCCATTCCTGATTTTTATATGTGGTTATATATAGTAGGGTTTTATATAGTGTAGTAGCTAACTTTTTCATTAGTCTGATTCTGCTTATCATTTATGAATAAAGATAGTTATTCTTGATTTCTGTCATAATAACATTATAACAACTGCTATGGGTAACTGCTTGTAGTACTATTTCTAAAAAGGCTGAAGAAAAAAAAAACAATCTGCCTATCAAATTCACAGAAATATGTATTTAGGGGTCATCCATAAATGACGTCACGCTTTTTTTGACGATTTTTACCTCCTCCCCTCCGTCACACTTCGTCACAAAAAGCCAGACCCCCCCCCCCCCCTAAAATGACGTCACACCTCAACCTACAACCCCCCTCAAAATTGCAGTTGAATTTTTTTTAAACATTGATATTTTTCCAAAATCTTGTCTAAACTATTACAATTTATTAAAACAGTTATCTAAAACGCGAAATAACGTCTAAAATTCGTTTTCTAACATTGCTTTTTTATAATGCAAAAATGTGACGTCGCAACATCTGACCCCCCCCCCCCCCTCCCCCTCATCACACATCGTCACAAAATTACGGACCCCCCCTCCCCCCTACGAGTGTGACGTCATTTATGGATGACCCCTTAGGCAAGTTGTTTAATATCCTGAGAAGATGGGTGGTAGTTATTTAGTGACATAGTAGAGTAGGATTTTTGATCGATAGTTTAAGGGGAGCATAATCTTAAAACAATAGTTTCAATTAGTGTAACAAATCATTATAGGTACTTGAATTACAAAGTTTATAGTCTAGTTAAGTCTTAAGTGGGTTGCTTCACCAGTCCTTGTTTGTGTTAGGTAAAATAGTTCTAGATTCATATAGAAGGTTTAAGCTATTTCTTTTTTATATCCTGGAAAAACTGGAACATGTTTTTTAGAGTTTAGAAGCTTATTTTGTTTTGACATTATAATTGCTATTTTGCTCATGTAGACTACGTAAGCAATATATGTAATATTTTACTTACGTATTAAATTTTTGCATAAATTTAGAACAATATGTGCAAAGTGTTTTCTGCTTAAAAAGTTATATCATGTATGATTTTTAGGTGTTTACTGATGTAGATGACACACAACAAACAGCAGGAAATGTGGAATATTCTCAGCATATTTCTTCTTTTACTGCTCATCAGTGATGGTAAGTTCTTTCTTTTAGATTTGTACACACAGAGGAGTGATTGCATTGGTAGTTCTGTAAACAATCTTTTAACTTCCTGATAGAGTCTTTAGCTGTGGGCTGTATACATGTACAGGTGAACATAGATGTATGGTCCATTAACCACACAGTAAAACTGTATGATGTATGGTCCATTAACCACACAGTAAAACTGTATGATGTATAACCCAACATGCCATAGCACAAGTGCTTGGTGCTGTGTGCCAGCATATAACCCAACATGCCATAGCACAAGTGCTTGGTGCTGTGTGCCAGCATATAACCCAACATGCCATAGCACAAGTGCTTGGTGCTGTGTGCCAGCATATAACCCAACATGCCATAGCACAAGTGCTTGGTGCTGTGTGCCAGCATATAACCCAACATGCCATAGAACAAGTGCTGTGTGCCAGCATATAACCCAACATGCCATAGCACAAGTGCTTGGTGCTGTGTGGCAGCATATAACCCAACATGCCATAGCACAAGTGCTTGGTGCTGTGTGGCAGCATATAACCCAACAAGCACTAGTGCTGGTGTTGGTGCTATGTGCCAGTATATGAGCCAACCTTGTAGTGCATGTTGACTGCTCCTGTACATGAACCTTGAAATCCCCGCCTTAAAACGTGTCCAGGCACGCGAGCCGTCATGTATGTGAGCGTCATGTACTCGCCTGCTGATGTTGTATAAAAACTGTATGTTTACATTAGCCCGCCTAAGCCCGGGTGGTTGAAGCTCAGATAAACACCCTGCCTGTCTCCTGTATCTGCATAGAGACAATACTATTGTCTTGATGAACTTGAGTTAGTTAGCTAAATAATAAAGAAAGGCGCCTAGTCCAAAAGACATGCACATCGTATTGACAAAAATCTTTACTTCAAAGTCAAGTATAATGTAGCTGTGTTTTTTTTTTTTACTTAGCTTAGTGCTGTTTTTTCTTTTGTACGGTAGGCCTATTCATATTATGGTAAAGTATGAAATGGAAGGCATTTAATGGAATGACCTTATTAATGAAAGAAGAAGCATAAAGAACAAAATACGTTATGGACAGGGGTGGAATGGATGTGTACAAGACCCCCAGAAAAAAGGGACCGCCTACTTCAGATTGAAATTTTCATTGTGCGTTTCTCCCTATCAAATAGAATTTTACAATTTGGCACGAAGGAATGGAAATGGTAAAATGGAGAAATAACAAATGTTTACAAAAATTTAAAGCTCTAATCGTCCTATTACAGCACCGTTCCTGGGGGCCAATATCATATGGACCCACCCTGCGGGTATGTCCACCTCTGGCCATAGATATGTTTATATTTTAGTAGTTTCGATGGCTGGGGTTGGTCCTAGCAATGTTTTATGGTCAAAGGAAATGTAGTATTAAGTTGTGTAAGAAACGGGTGGATTCAAATGTTCCTGCGTTATAAATCGATTATTTTTGTAGTAGAGACTATAGTGATGTTAGCAGGAGATTTTGTGAATGCTCTTTTGAAGCTACACATTACTAGTTATAGTGCAAACCAGTTCATCCCACCAGAAAAGCTTGGATTTATTTCCCGGTCTAGAGTCCGTGGTACATACTTGAGCTCACCCGAGTTGGGAAAAGCAACGACAATTAGGGATAATGCCGATCATATCATCCCTTCATGTTGTTAAAGAAACGTAATACTTGGCGAGAACTGAGCAGTAGTGTGTGTAGTATGTGTATTGTATGTTCAGGAATGTCTTCAACATGCCTTGTGATACTCCGTTAGAGTTGCTTCAAAGTACCTTTTTGGTCGTAAATGCCAATCTGCTATCCGTTTCGTAACAACGACTGTCGCAATTTGAGGGTCGCTGCGCCACTTGTCGCAGCCTGAGTTAAGGACCCGCACAATGTCCCCACAGAGACAGGAATACATTCACTGTCAACGTGTAGTATCATTTGTATGTGTGTGTGTGCTTACACTTATTAGATATTCCATTGTCTCTTATTTTCATTTGCATGCTCAATGTTCTAGTAGTACAAAAGGTCATGCACTCCCTAACCTATCATTTCCACCACCGACTTCTTTATGTCAACAGATCTTAATAACATTTAGGCCACACTGTATGCATGTATGGGCCTCACAGATTTCCTTAAGGCACTCACAAGACATCGTTGTTACCGTGGTTTCTCAGTCTCTTGGTGTTTAGTGTGAGCCAACAAAGAGCTTGGCGTCACTATTTTCTCTCTAGCTCCCCTCTAGTCAAGGCCTTGAAAGAACACCGTCCTAATAATGCGAATAACGGAATAAGATTATTGTACACATTGCCGGAGTCCTTGTCTGACATGTTATAGAAGGCTTAGGCAATATATGACACACGATTGATTCAGTACCCTGCAATAATCGTGAGATCTTCGATAATTGTTCATACCCTGATTAAAATAGCAAATTGACACTCGCCAAGTCATGCATTTATGTTTGAACATTCCTATAGGAATAAAGAATGAAACGCCGATTAGCTTTTCAGTAAAAATAATTATCGAACAGATCACGTTTGGTTATTGCGTTTTTACCCACTATTTCTCTGAGGTGTTCTTTAATTTTTACACAGCGCTGTCTGTCTGACCCACCAAACAAATGCATTAGTGTATTCAAACAAATGTATAACGTGTTACATCAACCTTTTGTTCCTGTACCAAGTCGTCAGCCGACAAAAAGATTTGAGCCCGGCTCAGCATCGATTAGCGAGATAGAAGTTTCTTGGTGCAGCGATCAATGGGGCAACTCATTCAAGCCACTGTCGTGTGAAACTATTCTAGTCGACCCGTTGCCAGGTGGGGGGGGGGGGGGGGCATTGTTAGAGAACACAATCAAGGTGACACATCTAACACAACCAAGGTGGCACATCAAACACAATCAAGTTGAAACATCTAACACAACCAAAGTGGCACATCGAACACAATAATTACAGATTTGTTCCAATTGTTCTAAAGATTTCTTAATGCTCGACATGTTATCGAAAATACATTCTTAAAATTGTCACTTAAAAATCTGCATCCGATGTATTGTTTGACTAGTGAAGTTTATGGCGTCACTATAGAACATAATTATTATCTCATTATCTCATATAATTGCAGCATTCAACATTTCATTAGCTAAAACATGAGACCTGGATACATAAATCTAGTCAACGCGTCACCAGCCATTATGTGGACAGTAAACACGACTTTTATTTAATACACGTTTTATTCTATTCATGAATGTTTACTATTGGCAGCGTAAACGAAGCTTGGCTAGTAAAAGTTCACGGATTGTACTATAATATGAACTATAAATAACTGTTTAAAAACCCCATGTAAATAAACCACCCATGGTTAAATCACATGTGATCAGACCCACGCTGTTGTCAAAGTTTTCGTGGTAAAACACTCATGGTGTCAAGCAACCTGTCAGCTATTTCTCTTGTCGCATTTTTTGTGTGTGTATGTTTCTGTATGTGTATATTTCTGTTTGCGCTTATGTGCGGAAATTTCTATTTGCGTATTTTTCTATTTGCTCAATTTTTTTATTTGCGCATTTTTCTGTGTTCGCAATTTTTCCTTTGTGCTTTTTTTTTAATGCTCCATTTTCCCTTGCGCATTTTTCTGGTCACCCATTTTCGAGCGAACACGCATACAAGGTCGTATGGTACAGCGTTTGACTACTAATCTGAAAGTCTCTAGGTCGGATCCCGAGTAAGACACCCATTAATCCACTCATGGGTAGCTGATCCACGTTACTAATAACGTTAGAGAAAGTAAATGCTACTAGATATAGTGCTGACCACACTATGTCTTAATATTCTAAGGTCACTGAAACAGATGAACCCTACTTCACCTGTCCCATGGACCGTCAGGTTCGAAAGAGTGCGTTACTTTAATTACATAACTGTTTGGCATTTAATTAATTTAATAGAAGTCTAGGCAAAATACAAACACCATTTATGTTGTACTTGTCGGCCATTTCAGGCATTCTACAGAATTACTGATCCCGCACTTCGCCGATAATATTGTATAGACCCCATTTTTTTCGGTGTGAGAACCAAATCACTGTACTTAAAAATAGCTTTAACATCTAACATTCAGCGTTTATTTTTAGTCGGTGTGTGGTTTTGTGTGTGCTCACGGCAGTGGCAGCTATACTATATTGTTGTCATATAAAGATCATGTTGCAATTTACTGTATTATTATACACAGAGCTGCAGCTATACTATATTGTCACATATGAACAAACACATGTCTACTTTAGTCTATGGCTGTATGTATGCACGGCTTCTCGTGTCTAGCCCACCACTCCGCCCTTTCATGGCCGTTTAGAATCTCTTCCATCATAGAAATTCAACTGATTTGATTATTGATTTCCTGCATGTACATCTAAAGCCGGTGGGAGGGTAGGGCTGCGGTGGGACCTGTTGTGGAATGGGCTCAACGCTCAAGTTCATGTGCTTGTTGACGGGATTCACACCGCCATTGCCTGAACCAGCTACTTTCTCCCGTCCATTGGGTCACCATGTCTACTTTCTCCCGTCCATTGGGTCACCATGTCTACTTTCTCCCGTCCATTGGGTCACCATGTCTCTCTACTTTCTCCCGTCCATTGGGTCACCATGTCTACTTTCTCCCGTCCATTGGGTCACCATGTCTACTTTCCCCAGTCCATTGGGTCACCATGTCTCTCTACTTTCTCCCGTCCATTGGGTCACCATGTCTACTTTCTCCCGTCCATTGGGTCACCATGTCTACTTTCTCCCGTCCATTGGGTCACCATGTCTACTTTCTCCCGTCCATTGGGTCACCATGTCTCTCTACTTTCTCCCGTCCATTGGGTCACCATGTCTACTTTCTCCCCTCCATTGGGTCACCATGTCTACTTTCTCCCGTCCATTGGGTCACCATGTCTACTTTCTCCCGTCCATTGGGTCACCATGTCTATTTTCTCCCGTCCATTGGGTCACCATGTCTCTCTACTTTCTCCCGTCCATTG